CTCACGCCTGTAATCCCAGTACTTTGGGAGGCCGAGGCGGGTGGATCACGAGGTCAAGAGATCGATACCATCCTGGTCAACATGGTGAGACCCCATCTCTACTAAAAATACAACAAAAATTAGCTGGGCCTGGTGGCGTGTGCCTGTAATCCCAGCTACTCAGGAGGCTGAGGCAGGAGAATTGCCTGAACCCAGGAGGTGGAGGTTGCGGTGAGCCAAGATTACGCCATTGCACTCCAGCCTGGATAACAAGAGCTAAACTCCGTCTCAAAGGAAAAAAAAATCCTTTCTGACTTGGGAGAAACTACGCCCTCCTGAGGCAAGCCAATTCATAGCTAAGCAAAGGACTTATCCAGGGAGCACGGCTTTGGTATATTAAAAAGTAAATTATCAAGCCATACCTCCTCTGTCTGGCCCATATACAACAGGCCTTCCTCTGTCTTAACCATTGCAGAGCTACCTACCAGATAACGGGACAACCTGTATACTCCAAGGCCCTCTGAAATTATCCATACTAGCCAATCCTAATCTGCTTACACTACCCTACCTTGCTTTTTCTGTGGAAACTCCAATAGAGGCTCCAGTCGAGGCTTTTCTCTGGCTCCTGCTTTCTGCCTCCTGAATAACTACCCCAAGGCTTCCCCGTGTAATCCTGTATGGCATGGTGTGGCTCCCATTTCTAGGACCTGTGAGTATAATAAATGTTGTTTTCCTCTCATGGACACATCTGACTGATCATCACAGAAAATAACACAGAACAGGTGATTTGGATCTTCTCTTTTTCTTGGTTAGCACAGCTATAAATTTATTGATTTTAACTAGATTCTGGTTTCTGTAATTTTCTCTATTGTTTCCCAGTTTCAGTTGCATTGATTTATGATCTCATGTTTATTGTTACTTTTGCTTTCTTTAAAGCTTAATATTTTTCCTTTAGCTGAAGGTAGACATTCAGATCGAGTTTAGATTTTTCTTCTTTTCTAATATATGCATTGAATGCTAAGCACTCCAAGCACTGCTTTCAGAGCATTCCATGAGTTTTGATAAGTTATATTTCAATTTTTATTTAGTTCAAAATGTTTCTTAATTCTTCTAGATATTTACCTGATCCATGTATTATTTAGAAGTGTGGGTTTAATTTGCAAATATTTTGTGGTTTTCCAGCTGTTTTGTTACTGATTTTTAGTTTCATTTTACTGTGGTCTGGGACCACAGTTTGCATAATTTCTGTTACAGTTTGAAGTGTGCCACCTCCGCCTCCCTATCATATATTGAAGTCTGAACCCCTAGTACCTGTGAATATGATCTTTACAGATATAATCAAGTTACGATGGGGTCATTAGGGTTGCCAAAATCCAATATTACTGGAGTCTTTATGAAAAGCAGGAATGCCATGCAAACACAAAAACACACAGAGAAAATGCTACATGATTATAGAGGCAGAGAGAGGTTGTGGTCATGCAGCTGCAAGCCAAGGAATGCCAAGGAGGGACAGCTTCTGATGGTGGCATCAGAAACTAGAAAGAGGCAAAGAAAGATTCTCCCCTGCATGTTTCAAACAAAACATAGTTCTTCTGATACTCTGGTTTTGGACTTCTAGCTTCCAGATCCCTGAGAAAATACATTTCTGTTGTTTTAATCCACTCACTTGGTGGTACTTTGTTACAGCTACCCTAAACTATATAATTTCTATTCTTTCAAATTTATTAATGTGTGTTATGGCCCAGAATGTGTTCTAGCTTGGTGAACATTCCATGAGACCTTGAGAAAATATGTACTCTGCTGTTATTGAAATGAGTGGCTATAAATGTCAATTACATCAAGTTGATTGATGGTGCTGTCTGGAGCAACTCTTGCTGATTTTCTGCCCGCTTATTCTATGAATTACTGAAGGAGTAGTGTTGAAGTCTCCAAATATTATAATGGATTTGTGTATTTCTCTTCGCAAAACCAATCAGTTTGGCCTTATGCATTTTGACACTGTTGTTAGGAGCATATACACCAGGACTGTTCTGTCCCCTTGGAGAAATGACACTATCATTAATGCTGCTCTTTGTCCCTGATAATTTGCTTGTTCTGATGTCATCTTTGAAATTAAAATAGCTACTCTGGCTTCCTTTTGATTAGTGCTAGCATAGTCTTCCTTTCTTTATCCACTGATGTTATAAATAATTTGTTATTTTTAAGATGTTTTAACAACTTGAGTGATTTATTTCACGTATCTATATTTGCCCATATAAAGTGTACTATTCATTGGCTTTCAGTGTATTCACAGAGTTGTACACCATCAACACAATCAATTTAAAATTTTTTTCACTAGCATCCCACAAACCCTGCAACTCCTTAGCCAATCCCCCATTATTTGCGAAGCCTTAGCAACTACTAATCTATTTCTGTCTCTCTAGATTTGCCTTTTCTGGACATTTCCTATAATATGCGGTTATATTGAAATAGAATCCTATAGTACGTGATCTTTTGTGAATGACATTAGATAATAGTTGGTCTTTTGTGACTGGCTTCTTTCACTTAGAATAATAGATTCAAGGTTCAACCATATTGCTGTATATATATAAGCTTCATTCTTTTTTGTTTCTGAATAATATTCCATTGTATGAATATGCCAGTTTTTATTCAACCACTAATCAGTTTATGACCGTTATGGGTTTGTTTTGTACTTTGGCTATTATGAATAATCTTGCTATAAACATTTGTATATACACTTTTCATGTGCATTATGTTTTCATTTTGCTTGGGTGTATACTTAGTAGTGGTTGCTGGATTATGTGGTAACTCTGTGTATAAACTATTGAAGAATGGCTAGACCATTTTTCACAGTGGCTGTGCAACTTTCACATTCCTACTAACAGTTTATGAGGGTTCAAGTTTCTCTACATTCTTCTATTGGCCTTGTTTGTTTGTTTGTTTGTTTGAGATGGGAGTCTCCCTCTGTTGCCCAGGCTGGAATGCAGTGGTGTGATCTCTGCTCACTGCAACCTCTGCCTTCTGGGTTCAAGTGACTCTCCTGTCTCAGGCTTCTGAGTAGCTGGGATTACAGGCATGTGCCACCATGCCCAGCTAATTTTTTGTGTTTATAGTACAGACTGGGTTTCACCATGTGGGCCAGGCTGGTCTAAAACTCCTGACCTTGGGTGATCCATCTACCTTGGCCTCCCAAAGTGCTGGGATTACAGGTGTGCCACTGCACCTGGCTATCTATCCTTTTGGATGGCCGTTTTAGTGGGTGTCAAGTGGCATTTAATTTTGATTTTAATTTTCATTTCCTTGAAGACTAACAATATTGAGCATCTTTTCATGTTCTTTTTCGCTATTTGTATGTGTTCTTTGGAGAAATCCCTATTCAAGATCCTTTGCCCATTTTTAACATAGGTTGTCTATTTTATTTATTTATTTTGTTGAGACAAGGTCTCACTCTGTCACCCAGGCTTGCATGCAATGGTGTGACCATGGCTTTTGCAGCATTGATCTCCCAGGCTCAAGCGATCCTCCCATTTCAGTGTCCTGAGTAGTTGGGACTATAGGCATGCACCACTGGACCCAGCTGATTTTATTTATGTATTTCCTTTTTTTTTTTTTTTTTTTTTTTTGGTAGAAATGGGGTCTTGCTCTGTTACCTTGGCTGGTCTGGAACTTCTGGGCTCAAGTGATCCTCCTGCCTTAGCCTCCAAAGTGCTGAGATTACAGGCATCAACCACTGAACCCACCTGTTTTTGAATTTTAATAGTTCTTTATATAGTTTAGACACAAGTTATTTATCAGATATATAATTTGCAAGAATTTCCCCTCTTCCTGTAGTTTGTCTTCTTACTTTTTTATGGTGTTTTTTGAAACAAAAGGTTTTTAGTTTTGATAATGTCTAGTTTATTTTGCTTTTCTTTTTTTTCTTTTTTTCTTTTTTGTAATGCTTTTGGTTGTCATAGCTAAGAAGCCATCAAAGATTCTTAGAATTGTAATTCAAGGTCATAAAATTTGAACCAACAGTGTCTTTGAAGAGCTTTAGAGTTTTAGCTCCTATGTTTAGGTCTTTGATCCATTTTAATTTTTGTATATGATGTGAGGTAAGGATCTAACTTGCACTAGGATATCCAGTTGTCTCCCCATTTGTTGAAGATGATTCTTTTCCCATTGAATGGTCTTGCACCCTTGCTAAAGATCAGTTGACCATACACACATTAAGATTTATTTCTGGACGTCCATTTTATTCCAAAATAATTGGAATTATTAACTGCTTACGTGTTTCAGGCATGATCCTAAGCATGAATTCATTTGCTTCTCACAATAACTGTGAAGTGGGCACTATTCTCATTCCCTTTTGACAGATGAATTGGCCAAGATAGACTGTTTTGCCCAAGGCCACATAAGTAACTACTAAGTGGCAGTGCCAGCCTAAGAATTTAGGTTGACTAACTTGAGAGCCTGAGATCTTAGCCGTGAATGCTGTAAACAAAAGTTAGAAATCAAAACTTTAGAATTCCACAGAAGAGTCCACTTTAAGCAAATGGAGTGAAGGTCAGATTAGCCACTAAGAGTTTGCAAAGCAAAACAGGGAGGGACTTCCTCACCAGCTTGCTTTCGGTGGAGTAGCGGCAATGGACCCGCCTTTTTTGGTTAAAATTCCTACAACCCCCACCCCCTACCCCAAGCTGATAATTTGCACTGGCTGTATGTCGAATTTGCACTTAGCTCCTAGGGCAGTGCTGAGTGGTGCGAGCGAGGGTCGGGTCCTCTGATAGAGCCTCTCGCTGGTTTCCGCACGGAACCCTGGGAATGGAAAGGCCTCGGCGCCGGGAGGTTGCCCGGGTTGCGGAAACTCTCGCGGGAAGGTGCGTCGTTGCCTCAGTAACCGCGTCGCAGTTGCCGAAGATGGCGGGGCGAAGTCACTCGGTCAGTTCAACTCCAGGTTCCTGGGGAGTGTCTGGGCTCCGGCGACTAGGATGCCCAGCCTCCTTCATCTTCGGGTCTGAAACTCTCTCCCTCTTTTACAGAGAGGCAGCGTTCCAGGGACTCCGCTCCTGCCACCCGTTCAGCAGCCCTCTACACCTGGACCGGACCTCCTCGCTTTGGAGGAAGAATATAAGTAAGAAATTCGGCGGTTGAGCTCTCCTTCCTTCTTTCATCTAAATGAGGCTGCTTGTAAGTGCTTTTTCTGAAGACTGGCTGGATCTTCAGGACCACTCACTCTGCAGCATGCCCTTCTCATCTCGTGCACTCGCAGTTTATCCTTTCTCTTTCACCTGAGTGGTTCGCCTGCGTCTTAGAAGATATTTGAAGTGGGCGAAAATATAGCCCAAAACAGCAATATGCTTTTGGAAGTTATTTGAGTAGCAGGAATTGCCACGAATAGTACAGTTACTAGTTTAGGTTATTTCGCTAAGTAGCAAGTCATAGAGTTTACCTTATGTAAATTTCCTTTACATTGGTTTCTAAATTGAAGCACGCTTCCTAGTGCAATCAGAATTACCATTCTCGTTCAGATTTTCCTTATCTGGTCTCAGTGTAATTACAAGTATCTTGACAAGCTTTCACTCTTGGCCCATTCCACTCATCATCCCTAAGTTTTCACACAGCTGCCAATGTAATCTTTTAATTTGATCGTGCAATTCCTTTGCTTAAAACACTACATTGGTTTCCTCTTGCACTTTAAAAGCTCCTCCTGCTCCCTTTTTACTTGATCTTTTTCCCGCTCCCATGTCTGTTTTATTTGCCATTGTGCATACCCTTATGAAAAAGTGTCTTTTAACAACTCCCTTTCTTTTTAATTTAATATAAAATAACTAGTTTAAAATTTGTAAATAGTTGGGGGTTTGTATCAGAGGGTTAAACTAGAGTTACTGTATGAGCTATATATGATGTATATTTGAAATTAAAACTGAAGAGTACTCTGTTTAGATGAACTATACACCAATTTACCACAGCAAGTAGGAAGATAATAATTTCTTCTCTCTGATCAGATGGCCCTATTATCCCAGTTCTCAAGTGTACTTAAGCAACTTAATCTGTTGTCTATATAGTTATTTGAGAGTATATTTTGCACCTGGCTCTGGTGCAGCGTTAGGGATATCGTCCTGCTTAAAACTTAGTGGCCAGTTGTTACTTGTTCTGTTGTCTGTGCTGAGTTGTGCACATGTGAAGCACATGAACGGAGTAACTCCTACACTACCTGAATCTTCTAGAGTACTTCTGTGTCAGGTGGAAGAGTAAAATGTCTGGCCATCTCTATAAGCAAGAATATGAGATTATAACAGTATAATCTCATATTCTTTTGTCACCTGTTGTCTTGGCATTAATCATTAGAACGCTACTTCCCAGGGCCCTGAATCTAAAACCTTTCGCAGTTCTGCTCCTGTTTGAGGAAATAATCACCATTTAAGAGGATAGACTAAGGAAGACGCTAATCACTCAAGTGGATAGGTTTTTCAAGCTTCCTTCCTGTATTATAATACCAATAGCTGAACAGTAAGATTACGTGATAACTGGTAGGGCAAGCCCCCTCATAAATCCCAGTTACATTGGATTTACAGATCAATTTGCAGATAACGGACTTATTTATGCTATTGAATCTTCCACAAATATGATACTTCTCTATTTACAGGGTTTTTTTTAACCTTTAATAGTGTTTTGTTTGACTTCATAAAATTCTTGCATATATAATTTGCTTCAAGGCGCTGAATAGGTTTTGTTGCTATATAATATGTGGACTTTATTATATTTTCTAATTGGTTATAAATGTAGGATTTTTAGATGTTGGTGCTACATCTATGTTTACATACACACACAGATCTTCAGTCCTGCTGGACTCTCTTACTCATTCTATGAAGTCCCTTGGATTTTTGATGAAGACAGTTATATGCAAATTATGATAATTTTCTCCCTTGATAATTCTCCTGCATTCTCTCTTTTTCTCTGTTTAGGACTTCCATGTGATACAGAACAGAAAAAGTGATGGTGAACTTCCTTACCTTGTTTTTTATTTTGAGAGGCCCACTTTTAATCACTACATTTGAGGTTTGATCTAGGGTTTTGGTAGATTCTTTTTTATGTTTAAAATTCTTCCCCTTAATTTCTAATTTGAATAAGTGTTAAATGTATCAAAACTTCTTTTTTCTCCAATTAATTCAGGTGGTGGTATGTTCTTTTTCCCTCCTTTAATGCTTTAGCATACTGAACTGCAAAGGCAGCTTTCCTGTTTTCCTTTAAAGGACTGCTAGATTTGATGGGTATAATTTTTTATGTAGGTTTTGGCGTCTATGAACAAAAGTGAAATGGGTGTTACACTTTTTTTCTAGTTCTTGTCCTTTCTGTTTTTGATATCAATATTATTCTGGGTAGATGCAATAAACTGAAAAGTTTTCTTGTTTTGTTTCTTTTCTTGGAAGCTTTTTATAATCAGAGTTTTTTTTACCCTTTGATTAAAATTGTGAAACTGTGTCAGTGTAGTGTTCTTTTGTCAAGGAGACTCTTTTTGTCTATGAATTTAGCTTCTTTAATGATTACTTATCTATTTAGATGTTCTATTTCTAGAATAATATTTGGTTCTAGAAAAGTGTGCATGTGTGTTTTAAAATATATTAGCATTAACTGACTCTATGGTTGTATGTTTGAAATCTTGACTGTATCTATAACCATGTACACCCCTCCTTTTGGTAGCTTTCCAATATTGTTTATTTTTATCTCTTTCTATTAAGGTTCCTGGGAGATTTATCTGTCTTACTGGTCTTTTCAGAGAACCAGCTTTGGTTTTCTTGGTAATCTGTGCTATTGTAAAATTTCATTAATCTTTATAGAAATAAAGAAAGACCCATGATCTCTTCTAACTGGGGTGGGTTAATTTTTTTTTTTTTTTTTTTTAGTTTCTTGACCTCATTTGTTTTCTTATTTTTAATAAATACATTTAAGTCCTTAAATTTCTCTCCATCTGTAGCTTAACGACATTCCAAGACTTCTTTTGATGTATATTTCTCTTATGGTTATTAAGTTCTAAATATTATGTGATTTTCATAGTGATTATTTAGAAGGGAGTTTTTTAGTTTGCAAGCACATTGAGTTGTTTACTGTTGTCTACTTTTTACTTTTCTAAGTATGTATGTGACAGGGTCCTGCTCTGTTGCCCAGGCTGGAGTGCAGTGGTGCAATTATGGCTCACTGCAGCTTTGAACTCCTCAGCTCAAGAGGTTTTCCCACCTCAGCCTCCCAAGGAGCTGGGACTACAGGCACATGCCACCATGCCAGGCTTTTTTTTTTTTTTTAAGCAAGGTCTCAATCTGTTGCACAGACTGGAATACAATGGTGTGATCTCAACCCACTGCAACCTTCACCTCCCAGGCTCCTGAGTAGCTGGGACTACAGGCATGTGGTAGCACGCACGGCTAATTTTTGTATTATATTTCTTTGTAGAGAGGGTGTTTCGTCATGTTGCCCAGGCTGGTCTTTAAGTCCTGGAGTCAAACGATCTGTCTGCCTTGGCCTCCCAAATTATTATTATGCTGATTTAGATGACAGGCATGAGCCACCATGCCTGGTCTAGTTTATTTTAAATTGCATGATGATTAGAGAATTGATAAGATACTAAGTTTTTTAAATGTATTAAGACTTATTTGTGGCCAAGTGCATGTTCACCTTTTGTAGAAGTTCTATGTGTTCTTTGATAGAAAGTATATTTTTTGTTGGCTAAACTGTTAGATTAAGCCAATTATATTGGTTATCCATGATATCGGTTTCCTCAGCTCAATTCTTTTTTTGTTTGTTCTGGCTTTATTGGTTTCTGTTAGAAGTGTATGAAAAATCATGAGTTATAGTTATAGAAAAAATTCCTTATAATTGTGGCCATTTTTGTTTGGGAGTATCTTATTTGACTTAGGTAAATCTTGTTGATCGCTTTCATTCTTATGCGGTGTCTGTTATAGCTTTCTTCATCATTTATTTTCAAACTTTGTATGTCATTTATCAATAAGAGCATTCTTTTTATAAAAAGTCTGATAATTTCTGCCTGTTAAGTGAATTTAACTTGTTCACGTTATTACATAACTTGAAGTTTTCTTAGCCACCTTATTTTTTATGTTGTATTTATTATGTCTTGCCTTTGGTTCTTGTCTGTCTGCTGCTAGATTGAATGGATTTTCATTATGTCTTTATTGTTACTGGTTTGGAAAGATACTAGAATGCTTTCACTTGGCTTCCTCTGTCTTTTAAGTTAGATAATATTTTACTTTGTTGTTTTGAATACACCCACACCTAGTTAATCATCCGTGTTATTTTTATAGTCTGTACTAATTTAGATTTGGCATGTTTTTCCATATCTTCATGATTCTTATTTCCAGATTCAGTTTTCCTCCTTCCTGAAGTATAGACGCTTCGTTACTTCTTTCTGTGAAAAACTAAGTCTTAAACTTTTCAGTCTATTAGAAAATTGTTACTTTGCACTTATTCTTCAATGACAGTTTATCTGAATGTAATTCTAGATAGCCAGTTTTTCCTTCTCATCCCATTAAAGATATCCTTATATTATCTGTTGGAAATAAAAGGGTAGAAATGTTAGAATGTTAGAACATTAATGAGCCGTCTGCTGTCAGCTTTTTAGATAATTGTGGTGGTAGACTATTTTTCTCTGTTCTTTTGAAATAATGATTTGGTAGTTTAGGGAGTGCTCTCTTTATCTTTACAATTCTGTACTTTCACTATGGTGTATACACATGTAGATTTGTTTTCTTTATTCTTCATGAGATCCATGTCTTCGATTTGGGAGATTCTCAGCATTAGCTCTCTAAATATTGACATTCTCTCCTCTTGGAATGTCTTGTCTTGTCTTTTCTTATGGAGACAGAATCTTGCTCTGTTGCCCAGGCTGGAGTGCAGTGGCAGGATCTTGGCTCACTGCAACCTCTAACTCCCAGGTTCAAGCGATTCTCATGCCTCAGCCTCCTGAGTAGCTGGGACTACCAGCGAGCAACACCACACCTGGCTAATTTTTTTTTTCTTTTTTTAAGATAGCGTTTTGCTTTTGTTGCCCAAGCTGGAGTGCAGTGGCGCGATCTTGGATCACTGCAACCTCTGCCTCCTGGGTTCAAGTGATTCTCCTGCTTCAGCCCCCAAGTAGCTGGGATTACAGGTGCCTGCCACCATACCTGGCTAATTTTTTGTATTTTTAGTGGAAACAGTTTCACCATGTTGACCAGGGGATGGTCTTGAACCCCTAACCTCAGGTGATCTGCCTGCCTCATCCTCCCAAAGTGGTGGGATTACAGGCATGAGCCACAAGGTCTGGCCTTAATTTTTGTATTTTTAGTAGAGTTGGGGTTTCTCCATCTTGGCTGGTCTCCTGGCCTCAAGTGATCCTTCCTCCCCACCTCCCAAAGTGCTGGGATTACAGGCATGAGTCACTGCACTCAGCCTTTCTGAGATTTCTTTCTGTAACTTCTGTTATAGTAGGTACATAACATCTGTCTTCGATGGATGTTAACCTGTCTTTTGTGTTTTTATCCCTTTGTTTTCTGTATCTCCTTGTAGGTGATTTCTTTCTGTCTTCTAATTGACACGTTGCTTTTTATCGGATTTCTTAATTTCAGTGACTGTGATTTTCATTTATGTATTTTTTATTTGGATCTTTTTCAAATTCAACATTCTTTTGTGATAAAATGTGAGTCTTGCCTAATGTTTTTCATTTGTGTGTGTGTTTTTTTTTCCAAATGGTAATTTAAAATCTTTTAAAAATTGTTATTAGTATTTCTTGTATTATAGAAAATAGTATTTCTTGTATTATAGAAAATTTCTATAATACAAATTTTCTGTTTCCTCACATCTGCTGATTCTCTCTTTCCATGGCTTATTTCTTTACACAATTTGTTACCTTTTTGAAGTCACATAGCAGTTTGCTTTCTGAGAAAGTTTATATATTGTAGATGAGTAAATGTCCCTATAGGGTGGTTTTCAATTTACCTTTACTAGTTCAGAGTTTTCATTGATTCCACACCAGCTTTTTCTATTTTAAAGTTTTGGCGTGGTGTCCCTGTATCATCTGGATAAGATGAATTTGGGCTTCCCTCTTGTTTAATTACTCACTAGAGAATCTTTTCTGCCCATGGCTCTGGTTTCGTTTCTGCTCACCTAAGGTTGTGGGTAGAGCTTTTGCTGTGCCTCACAGGTTTATCCCTTCATGTCTCACATGCTTCAGCTTCTAGCTTTTAAGCTATTTTGGCTTTGTTCCTGTTTATTGCTCTCACTTTGCATTGCTGTCTTATTCTTAGTGCCAGGGCATTTCCCTTGCCTGAGTTTGAGCTTAGCAATGTTTCCTCCATTGCATTTTATCAGACATGTCCATGGATTTAGAGTAGAATAGTCATCTCAGTCACCTGGGTCCATTATATTAATTGGAAACATCCATTTAAGTCCTTCTGATTCTTGTTAGGGAAATGTGAAAAATCAGGTAATGGCACTTTAAAGACACCTTTAAGTATTTCATATGTATATTTCTTTTGACCAAGTAATCCTAAGATATAGAAATATTTCTTAAAGCTTCATACTGTTAAAGGATATGGTACTGATCTCCCCGTTTTTTCACTGGGGATGGAAATTGTGTTTTGTGTTACTTCTGAATTACATGTCTAATTCTGAATTACATGTCTAAGAAAAACAAGATATCAAATTTTTTAAATCCTTAACATACCTCCTTCACATAACCTCAAAAGATCCTAGATAGTCTGGAAATGTGACATTTCAACAGTATAAAAAGTTATATGCTTTTGAATATGTTTATTGTTGTGTTAACCTTTAAAAGTGAAAGGGGGACTTAACAATAGGGACAGAGTTTAGTACATTATGTTAATTTCAATTTATTGAATTATTATATAGCTATTTAACATGCTTATAAAGATTACATCGAGATGGGTATTTCTTTTATATTGCTGTGGGAAAACAGTATAAAATTGTGTATATGCTATAGATGAAAATTGGAAGGGAATATTAATAAAAATGTTTGGATGGTGGTGGTAGAATTATGTGCAGTTTTTCCTTTAAAAACAATTTCTTTCAATAATATTGTCATTCTTGTGTTCTTAATGTAGGATCAAGTAAATAGTATTCCTATTCTTGCTAGTTTCCAAGTAGAATAAAAAAGCATAATTAAGAGTGATAGGTAGAGATCAATATAGTCACCTTTATTTCTGAGGAAGCTTGATATTAAAGTGTGTAGCTGAAATGTGAGCCACATTGGGTCTGCTCACTAAACCTCACATTTAGCTCCCCAGTTTCAGCAACACCCCAAACCAGAGCAGGTCTCCCCAACACCCTACCCAGAATTGGAACAGGGCCTCTCTCTGGAGAAGCAAGGTTAGAATTTGTATTCTCTGCAGGTAGGCTAATCCCAAGAAGGTAGTGAGTGGAACAGAGTTGAACTTGACCAGTTGATTCTTCCTAAATGTATTAGATAAGTTAGTTCACTTGAAGTTAATAGAGGGCCACAGAAAGGCTAATACTTAGTGTTTGAGTTCCTACCGCAAGGAAGGAAGAATCACGAGTTGAGGATAAGTTCTTAATGGCTGTATTCATTTTAGAGTAAGAATGCTATATGTATATATTGGCATTTGCTGATTAGGTCACTTGATAAAGTGTAATTGCTAAAGTTTAATTTTTATTTTTGTTAGGATCTTCAGTATATTCCAGTTATTATTTTCTGCTTTTAGGCGTTTAAATGCAGAATTGCAGGCAAAAACAGCTGACGTGGTTCAACAAGCTAAGGAAATAATAGTAAGTAAATGTACCGTTATTAATAATTCTATATAAGTGCTTGTGTTTTAACTTTTTAATTTGATATATGACATGTACAAAAAATTAGCCAAAGCGTGAGTGTTCAGTTCAATGAATCATTATAAACTGAACATGAATGTATATGCGTAGGTACAGGTATGTGTGTATGTGTAAGTTTTTAGTAAGCACACATTTTCTTAAAGCCACTGAAAAAGTGTTTTTTATTTAGATGCACAGTCATCTAAATTCTCATTGTAAATTACCATTATTAATTGATAGGCTAGAGTAACTCTCCTTAGAGGAGTAAAGAGTCTACTTTCAAACTTTTCACCAGTTCTTACCTAATTTTAATTCTTAATTTCTGCCTTCCCTATCCCCCAAAATGGAGTTGATGGAACCAGGGAAGAAAACCTAGGCAATATTTTATCTTAATGCCTTATACAAATCAATGATTATTTGTTAAGGAATAAGAAGTGTATCATACATAACATTTAAAGTTACATATTTTGATAACGGCTACAGATTTGCTAGTTAGATTTATAATTAAATGTTTTACTAAAAATATTTTTTATTTAATCTTTTAGTTTTTGCCAGTGTCTGAAGAGCAGGAAAGTACTTGTACAAAAGGACCCCACATTATAGTAGAATGACAGATTTATTACATTTCCCCCTGTAAATAAAAAACATAATAGAAAGCTGAGACAAGCTAGGAAAGGGGTTGGGAGTGGATTCCCACCCCTGCAGAAGCAAACAATAGAAGGTTTCTCATATTTAATTTTTGTTTACTCTCTTTTTAAAATTTTAATGTTTGTAGTTACATAGTAAGTGTGTATATTTATGAGGTAATGAGATTGTGATACAGGCATGCATTGTGTAATAATCACATCATGGAAAATGGAGTATCCATCCCTCAAGTATTTATCCTTTGTGTTACAATCCAATTATACTCTTTTAGTATTTTAAAATGTACAATTATTTTGACTATAATAAACCTGTGTGCTATCAAATACTAGATAATATTCATTTTTCCTAACTGTATTTTTTGTACCCATTAATTATCCTTACCTCCTTCCCCTGCATCCCCCGCTATCCTTCCCAACCTCTGGTAATCATGCTTAACTCTCTATCTCCATATGTTAAGTTGTTTTGATTTTCAGATCCCTCAAATAAGTGAGAATATATGAAGCTTGTCTTATGTGCCTGGCTTATATCACTCAATGACCTCCAGTTACATACATGTTCTTGCAAGTGACACGGCCTCGTTATGTTTTATGGCTGAACAGTACTCCATTGTGTATATGTACCACATTTTATTTATCTGTTCATTTGTTCGTGGACACTTTGGTTGCTTCCAGATCTTGGCTGTTGCGAATAGTGCTGCGACAAACATGGAAGTGCACGTATCTCTTTGATAACGCTGATTTCCCTTCTTCGGGGCATATACCCAGCAATGGGATTGCCGGATCATATGATAACTTTAATTTTTTGAGGAACCTCCACACTGTTTCCTTTGTGGTTGTACTAATTTACCTTCCCACCAACAGTGTACCAGGGTTCCCTTTTTCCACATCCTCACCAGCATTTGTTATTGCCTGTCTTTTGGATATAAGCCATGTTATCAGAGGTGAGATGATATTGTAATTTTGATTTGCATTTCTCCGATGATCAGTGATGTGGAACACGTTTTTTAAAGCCTGTTTGCCATTTGTATTTTTTTTCTGAGAAATGTCTATTCAGATCTTTTTGCCCATTTTTGAATTATTAGATTTTTTTCCTATAGGGTTGTTTGAGCTGTGTATATTTTCTGCCTTGTAATCCCTTGTTGATGAGTAGTTTGCAAATATTTTCTCCCATTCTATGGTTGTCTCCTCACTTATTGATTGTTTCCTTCACTGCAGAACCTTTTTAACTTGATGTGATCCCATTTGTCCATTTTTGCTTTGGTTACCTGTGCCTGTGGCATATTCACGAAATTGTTGTCTACTCCAATATCCTGTTTCCCCAGTGTTTTTTTCCAGTACTTTCATAGTTTTAAATTCTTAGGTTTAAGTCTTTAATGCATTTTGATTTAATATTTGTATGTGGGAAGACGAAGGGGTCTAGTCTTGCTCTTCTGCATGTGGATATTCAGTTTTCCCAGCACCATTTATTGAAGAGACTCTCCTTTATCCAGTGTGTGTTCTTGGCAACCTTGTCAAAAATGAGTTCACTGTAGGTGTATGGATTTGTTTCTGGATTTTTCTCTATTCTGTTCTATTGGTCTGTGTGTCTGTTTTTGTGCGACTTCTGTGATGTTTTGGTTACTATAGCTTGATAGTATAGTTTGAAGTCAGGTAATATGATTTCTCCAGTTTTGCTCCTTTTGCTTAACATAGCTTTGGCTATTCTGGGACTTTTGCAGTTTTGTATAAATTGTAGGATTGTTTTTTCTGTTTATGTGAAAATGCAATTGGTATTTCGAAAGGGGTTGCATTGAGTCTGTAGATTGCTTTGGGTAGTATGGACATTTTAACAATACTGATTTTTCTAATTCACGAACATGAAGTATCTTTTCATTTTTTGGTGTCCTCTTCAGTTTCTTGCATTAATGTTTTATGGTTTTTATTGTAGAGATCTTTTACTGCTTTGGTTATGTTAACTCCTAGGTATTTAATTTTATTTGTGGCCCTTACTTTTTTATTTGTGGGATTACTTTTTTATTTTGTTTCCGATTGTTGAAAATTGGCATTTAGAAATGCTACTGATTTTTGTATGTTGATCTTGTATTCTGCAACTGTACTGAGTTTATCACATCTAATAATTTTTGATTGAGTCTTTAGTTTTTTCCTAATATAAGAGCACATCATCTGCAAACAAGGATAATTTGACTTCTTCCTTCTGATTTGAATGCCCTTTATTTCTGTATCTTGTCTGATGGCTCTAGTTAGGACTTGCAGTAGTATGTCAAATAACAGTGGTGAAAGTGGGCCAGTTCCTAAAGGAAAGGCATTCAGTTTTTCCCACTTGGTATGACACTAGCTGTGTGTCTGTCATATATGGCTAGTATTATATTGAGGTCTGTTCATTTCATACCTAGTTTTTTAAGTGTGTTTACCATGAAAGGATGTTGAATTTTATCTAATGCTTTTCCAGGATCAGTTGAAATGATCATATGGTTTTTGTCCTTCATTCTGTTGATATGATGTATCACATTGTTTGATTTGTATATGTTTAACCAGCCTTGCATCCCTGGGGTAAATCCCATGTGGTCACAGCAAATGATATTTTTAATGTGCTATGGAATTCAGTTTACTAGTATTTTTTGAGGATTCTTTACATCAACATTCATCAGATACTGGCCTGTAGTTTTCTTTTTTTGATGTGTCTTTGGTTTTATATCAGGGTAATACTAACCTCATAAAATGAGTTTGGAAGTACTCACTCCTCCTCTAATTGTTGAAATAATTTGGGTAGGATCGGTAGTAGTTCTCTAAACTGGATAGAATTCAGCAGTGCAGTCATCAGGTCCTGGGCTTTTCTTTATTGGGAAAAATGTTTTATTATGGCTTCAATCTTGTTACTTGTTATAGTTCTGTTTAGGTTTTGGATTTCTTTGTGGTTCAATCTTGGTAGGTTGTATGTGTGTGTCTAGGAATTTACTGGTTTCCTCTAGATTTTCCAATTTATTGGTATGTAGTTGCTCATAACAGCCACTAACGAGCCTTTGAATTTCTGCAGTGTCAGTTGTAATGCCTCATTTTAAATCTCTAATTGTATTTATTTGGGTTATCTCCTTTCTTTGTTTACTCTGCTAATTTTGCTTATCTTTTTAAAAAAACTTTTTGTTTCATTGATCTTTTCTTCATTTCAAATTCATTTGTTTTTGCTCTGATTTTCATCTTTTCTCCTGCTAATTTTGGATTTGGTTTGCTCATGCTTTTCTGATTCTTTAAGATACATTGCTGGCTGGATGTGATGGCTGATGCCTGTAATCCCAGCACTTTGGGAGACCAAGGCAAGTGGATTATTTGAGCCCAGAAGTTTGAGACCAGTCTGGGCAACATGGTGAAACTCCATCTCTACAAAAAAATGCAAATTAGTCAGATGTGGTGGTGCATGCCTGCAGTCCCAACTACTTGGAGTGCTAAGGAGGAAGGATTGTTGAGCCCAGGGAGGTCCAGGCTGTAGTAAGCCATGATTATGCCACTATACTACAGCCTGGGCAACAGAGTGAATCTCTGGAGAAAAAAGAAAAAAAAAGATGCATTACCAATGCATTTATTTAAAATTTTTATTCTTCTTCGTTACAGGCGCTTACAGCTACATATTTCCTTCTTAGTACTGTTTTCAATCTATCTCATAGATTTTAGTATGTTGTGTTTCCATTATCATTTGTTTCAAGAAATTTCTAAATTTCCTTCTTAATTTCTTCATTGACTCATTGGTCATTTAGGAGCATATTGCCTAATTTCTATGTCTTTGTATAGTTTCCAGAGTTGTTCTTATTCTAGTTTTATTTCATGTGGTCAGAGAAGCAGCTTGATATTGTTTCAGTTTTTAAAATATTTTACAACTTGTTTCGTGACCTAAAATACATGGCCTTTTCTTGAGAAGGATATATATGCTGAGAAGAATAATGTGTCTTCTGTAGTCTTTGGATGAAATGTTCTGCAATGTCTGTTGGGTCCATTTGTTCTGTAGTGCAGATTAAGTCTGATGGTTGTTGAGTTTCTGGGAGAGCTGTTCAGTTCCAAAAGTGGTGCTGAGGTTTCCAGCTATTATTGTATTGTGGTCTAGCTCTCCCTTTAGCTCAAATAATATTTGCTTTATGTATCTGGGTGCTCCAGTGTCGTGTCCATATATATTTACAGTGATTATTTCCTGTTGTTGGCTGAACCCCGTTAGCATTATATAATGACCTTCTTTGTGTCTTATTACAGTTTTTGTTTTGAAATCTATTTTGTTTAAGTATAGGTTCTCCTGCGTTTTTGTTTGTTTCCATTGATGTAGAATATCTTTTTCTACCCTTTAATTTTCAGTTTATGTATATCTTTATAGGTGAAGTGTGTTTCTTGTAAGCAACAGATCATGGGGTCTTGTTTCATCATCCATTCAGTTAGTCTATCTTTTGATTGAAGAGTTTAGTCCACTTACATTCAGTGTTATTACTAATAAGGACTTAATCCTGCCATTTCATTATTTGTTTTCTGGTTGTCTTGTAGTATCCCTTTCTGTCTTCTTTTTATTGAAAGTGATTTTTTCTTGTGGTGTAATTTAATTTCCTGATTTTTATTTTTTTTGTGATATGTTTTTTGACTTAAGGTTACTGTGAGGCTTGCAAATATTATCTTGTAAGCCATTGATATAAGCTGATGACAAGTTGACACTGATTACATAAACAAACATATAAAAAGAAAAGTAATAAAAACTCTACACTTTTATCTCCCTAGTTTTTAACTTGTTGTTCCTGTTTATCTTATTGTACTATGTCTTAAAAAGTTGTTGTAATTATTATTTTTAATTGGTTCATCATTTAGTCTTACTACTTGAGAGTAGTTTATACACAATTATGGTGTTACAATATTCTGTATTTTTCTATGTGTTTACTGTTACCAGTGAGTTTTGTACCTTCAGATGATTTATTCTTACTCGTTAACATTCTTTTCTGTTAAAGAATTACCTTTAGCATTTCTTGTAGGACAGGTCTAGTGTTGATGGAATGCCTCAGCTTTTGTTTTTCTGGAAAGTTCTTTTATTCTCTTTCATGTTTAAAGATTATAAACTTTCTTGTTACAGCCCTGCCACCCTTTGCTGTGTGTGTATATATATAATACTTTGTCCTTCATATGTGAAAGATCCAGTGTTGGAATTCTTTGGTGTAAATAAACATTTGGTTTTATTTATCAAGGTTAGATTTAAAAATATAATAATAATAAAGGCTATTTTTGCTGGATAGACTATTCTAAGGTAAATGATTTTTTTTTTCCCCTTCGGCACTTTAAAAACATCATGCCGCTGTCTCTTGGTCTATAAGGTTTCCACTGAGAAGTCTGCTGCTAGATGTATTGGAGCTTCTTTTTGTGTTGTTTATCTCTGTTTGGTTATTAAATGCCTTGAGGTCGTCTTTTTTGAGTTAAATCTGCTTGGTGTTCTATTATCGTATTTGAACACTGATATCTTTGTCTAGGTTTGGGAAGTTCTCTGATATCCCTTCAAATAAACTTCCTACCTGTGTCTGTCTTTCTGCCTCTTCTTTCGGGTCAGTAACACTTATATTTGCCCCTTTGAGCCTGTTTTCTAGATCTTACAGGCAGGCTTCATCCTTTTTTCTTTTGTCTCCTCCGACTGTATTTTCAAACAGCGTATCTTCAAGACTACTGATTCTTCTGCTTGATCAATTCTGCTCTTAGGAGACGCTGATGCAGTTTTCAGTATGTCAGTTGCATTTTTAACTCCAGAATTTCTGCCCAATCCTTTACAGTTATTTCAATCTCTTTGTTAAATTTATCTGATAGAAATTTGAATTTCTTCTCTGTTATTTGAGTTTCTTTTGACTTTTCTCAAAACAGCTATTTTGTATTCACTGTCTGAAAGGTCACATGTCTCTGTTTTTCCAGGATTGGTCACCAGTGTTTTACTTAGTTCATTTGGCAAAGTCATGTTTTCCTGAATAATCATGATGCTTTTAGATGTTTGTCAGTGTCTAGGCATTGAAGAGTTAAGTATTATAGTCCTCACATTCTCTTCTTATTTGTGCCCATCTTTCTTGAGAAGACTTTCCATTTATTTGAAGGGACTTAGGCCCCCTACCCAATATCACTAGGGTTCTGGTAGATTCATAGAGACCTTGGTGGTCTTGGATAAGATCCAGAAGAATTCTCTGGGTGACAGGCAGAGACTCTTGTTCCCTTCCTTTACTTTCTCCCAAACAAATGGAATCTCTTTCTCTTTGTGCTGAGCTGCCTGAAACTGGGGGTATGGCAATGCAAGCAGTCCCTCCCTGCACAGCACCACTGGAATTGTGCTGGGTCACACTTGAAGCCAGAACAGCACTAGATCTTGCCCACAACCTGTTGTAAACGCTACCTGGCTACCACCTATGTTCACTTGAGACCCTTGCACTCTACAATCAGCAGGTGATGAGGCCAGCCAGGTTTGTGTCCTTCTCCCAAGCCCTGGGTGGGTCCACAGATGCTGTCTAGGGGTCAGAGATTAAAGTTAAAAATCTTAGAAATGTATCTGATGTTCTAGTGTTTTGTGGCTAAGCTGGCACTCAGACTACCACATAAAGTCCTTCCTGCTCTTCCCTTCCCTTTCCACAGGCAGAGGAGCCTCTCCTTGTCATCACGACCACCATTAGTTCATAGCAGGGTTTTGCCGGGCCACTGCTAGTGTTCACTTGAAGCCCAAGGGCTTTTCATTCACCAGGTTGTGGTGAATGCTGCCAGGTCTCGGACTCACCTTTCAGAGCAGTGGGTGAGTTGTCTCTGTCCCTGGGCAAGTCTGGAAATGCTGTCTATGAGTCAACTCCGGGAAACAGAAGCCACAGAACACAAGAGCCCACTTGGTGCCCTGCCCTGCTGTGACTGTGCTGATACATAAGGTGCAATAACAGAGGCCCCTTTACTTTTCCATCTGCTTTCACAAGCAGAAAGAGTAGTCACTGCCACTGGGAATGTGCTGGGTCACCACTGAAGTCAGTGTGTCTCAACCAAAGGCCCATGGCATACTGTTAATACCTTGGCATTGCTGCTGTTATTTTTGGCCCATGGTCTGTTTGGTACGCAGGTGATGAATGCTGTCAGAACTGGGTCCTTCCCTTTAAGGCAGCAGGTTCCCTCTTGGCCCAGGGTGTGTTTAGATATGGCTGAGGTGGTATCTGAGATGCAAGACAACATCCTCTTTATTCTCTGCTCTCCTCTCCTTAAACAGAAGGCAGAAGCTACTTTTGTTGCTGCAAACTGCACTGACTGGTGTTGGGGAAGGTGTGGTGTAAGGAGTCCTTTAGTGCCCCAGTTGATGTCTCCCTAGGTAACAGTTGGTGTCTCTCTAGGTCCCACCCTAGTCCTCTGGCTCTGAGCTGAGCCCAGCACTAGGAGTTGACTAGAAATTGGAATTCCTGTGTCCTTGACTGCCCTTCAAGTTTATCTAGGACCCAGAGCACTTTGCCCTGTGGTGGTGAGACTTGCTGAGAAACTCAAGTTCTGACCCGTAGGATGGGCAGTTTTTCCTCTGGCCATAGCTGTTCCAATTGCTTCCTCCATGCGTAGGTACTGTGTTAGCCCCGCATGATTTGCTCTCCACTCTAACAGGACAACACTGAGTTCAATGTCCAGTCCCCCAGTCACTCCGCTCTCCCTCCCCAACCTGCAGAGACTCTTTAGGCTGCACAGGCACTGCAGGAGGGAGTCAGAGAGGGGTGGTGTCAGCGATTTAAGACTATCCGTCCAGCCTTCTTCAATGACTCTTTCCATGATATGAAGTTAAAGCCAGGTACTGTGATTGCTCACCTGATTTTCAGTTCTTGTGATGGTGCTTTTGTGTTCAGGAAGTTGTTAAAATCTGGTGTTCCTGCAGAGGGTATGAACAGTGTAGGCTTCTATTTTACCATCTTGCCTCACTTTCATTTCTTGATGTGTCTTTGCCAGAAGCGTTTACTACTGATAGTTCATTTTTAGCATTTTCACAGTCTTCTCAATATTGAAGTTTTTCCCAATATTAGTTTTTCTGCCCATTAAGTGAATTTATTTTTTTCATTTTTTGTGCCTCCTAATTTCCATTGTGTGCTGTATAAGATGGATGATTCTAAAGAGATGGGGAAGCCGGAGTTAGAAATATTATGTAAAGGTCTTGATATTCTTACATTTTCCCCTTAGGATGGAATTTTTTAACCCAGAACAAATGAAAGGTACAGCTAGTATTATAGACTTTATCTTCATACTACGGCATATAGAATTCTGTTCCTTTACATTATGGAAACCTTAGACAGATCTGAAATGATGAATGTTCAGAGTGGCACTTGAATATATCTTCATGGCTTTTTTTTTTTTTCTATATGATACATGACCTATCTTTACTCATTTAAGAGAGATCGGCAAGAAGTACGATCTAGGCCTCTTTCAACACAGATGAAATCATGTGATGACAAGGATGGTTATAGTTTAAGGTAAGTAACTTAAATTCTCAAGCACCTTTTTTTTTAATGATGTATATGGATCTTTTACTATGTAAGATCTTTTTGCATGTAACATTGTAAATCTATCATTTGAAGAATAATGTATTACAGGGGGCTTATACCAGTCAGATACAGTGCAAGCCCTTTACCTACTTTATCTCATGTAATTTTCAAAATATTACTTTGAAATGTGTATTCTCGTCTTCATTTCAAAAACTTTGGAGAGGAAACAGGAAAAGTTTAGAACGTATGTCATTAAAACTATGAAATCATGTTGTCGCGGAGGCAGTCATGATCACCAAATGTTGCAAGTCAGTGGGCTATGAATAGAAATTTAGTTAATCTCTTCCAAGCCAAAATAGATGAGAATTGGTGAGTGGATGTCCAGCTGACTTTGCATGCCATGCAGATGAGTAGAATTCCAATTGGTAAATTCTCCTAGCCTGGTCTCTGGGTGACCATGTGTGGAACATGTTGAAAAAACAGCTTTTCTCCCTCTCTACTGCTACATTGAATCGGTGAAGTCACTGGAATTTTCACATTACTATCCTGCTTGTCTTTGCTAATGTTGAAATTGGTATTGGGATTGGAATGCTGCGTAACAGAATCTCAGAAGTATGGCATTACCTTAGCAGTTAGGGAAGAGCCAGCAAGGAAACTGATACTGGAGGGGGAAAAGATAGAGGATTAATGTTACATAGTGGCAATGGATGTAGTAAAACTGACATTCCTGGTAATTTGGGAGGTACAGCAGTGGTCTAATGAACTTGTTCTCTGGGGAAAGAGGATGGAACACAGAATATTAGCAGTATGTACTCTTAAAGAGACAAATTTGGGAAAGAAGTGGCTGATTTGCAAGCAGAAATAAAAGGAAATACCTGACTATCTAATTCAGAGGCACAAAGATTTATGACCATGATTTCTTTGAGGAGCTTTATGGTTTTAACTCTTAAATTGAGATTCTTTGATCCATTTTGAGTTAATTTTTGTTTGTGATAAAAGAGTCAACCTCCATTCTTTTGCACACGGATAGCCATTTATTCAGCATTATTTGTTGAGAAGACTATTCTTTCCCCATTGAATGTTCTTAGCACTCTTGTCAAAAATCAGTTGACCACAGACATATGGTTTCTATTTTTGGACTTTGATAAGTGTTCCATTGATCTATGTAGCTGTCATGACAGTAGCACACTCGATTGCCCTTGTTGTAACTGTGGAGTTGAGAAGTAAGCTGGTTTTAGACCTCAAGAATTACGATGTAAAATTGAGAAAATTTTCGGGAACAGAAACCTATCAAAATTCAGCCTTGAGGCAAATATTAGACTAAACATGTGGACTTCATGACTGCTGATAAAATTTTTCAATGGATTAAGGCTCCTCAGAGAAAGGATCAGTTCAAATGGCATATAGTAAAACTTTTTATTTGGATAAAATGGCCCAGGACAAAGACCTAACTAAAGTTATAGTCTCTCCTTTGAAGCTTGACAGTGTACAAGTAACCCATATTAAAATTGAGAAAGAGAGGTCAGGTGAAGAAATAAATAATTCATCTTGGAAAGAATTGTAGGTGATGTAATGGCATGTAGAACTGACTGAAATTAGGGAAGAAACTCACTAGTTTGGGGGAAGTTTTATTGGCAAAGAAACTTTAAGAATGGACTAAAATTATCTGTGGCTTTAAAAATATTAAAATAACTATGGGTCCCCCACCTCCCAGTATTCCGAGATTAAGAAGCAGGCTGTAAGAGCTGCACAGCCCTACAGGGTTTAGAAGAAAAAGAGAAGTTTATTACTGACATGGCAGTATATTTGACTTGTGAAATATTGGTACATTATTCATTTATTCAAAAATAATTATTGTATGTGAGTCAGTATTTCTCTTCCTAGATATTTACCCAAGAGAAATATAGACATACGTTCACAAAAAAACTGCATGGAAATTTTTATTAATAATTTTAATAATAAAATTTTTATTATTAATAAAATTTTATTATTATTAATAATTTTAATAATTACCAAAGAGAAGTTTTATTAATAATTACCAAAACTTGGAAATAATTCAAGTATTTATCAAATGGTGGCTAGATAAACAAATTATGATATATCCATGCAATAGAATACTACTTGGCAGTAAAAATCAATGAACTACTAATAGAATAATAACATAGTTGCTAAGTGAAAGAAGCCAGGCTAAAAAACCTACGTAATCTATGTTTCCACTTACTTGAGGCTCTGGAAGTGGTAGTACTTTAGTGACAGAAATCAAAGTGGTTGTCTGGGGCTTGCGTAGGGGTTAGGGGACTAACAAAGAGCACAATGGAACTTTTTGAGATGATGGAAATACTCTGTCTTGGCGGTGGTTGTGGTTATGTGACCATATGCATTTGCTAAAACGTATTGAACTGTATACTTAAAAAGAGTACATTGTATGAGATATCAATTATATCTCAAACCCAAAGGAAAAAATTTTTGAACACTGTTAGTGTCAGGTTTAGTTACTGGTATTACACTGGTGAATAAACAGACCTGAACTTCCAGGAAGTTAATGTGTGTTGCTTTTGAGTATTTTTTAAAGTGCATCAATTAAATATTTTTATGTTTTGATATACATATTTATGTGTACATATGACATGAAACCACTTATCCTTATTATATGTAATTGATAGTCTCTGAAGAAAGATATTTAAAGTATCAGAATTCCAAAATTTGGATTATATGTAAGATTAGACATGGCATTTATCCAGTAAACTAAAGAACTGAAATGATGCTAACAGTAGATGACGTTCTTGTGATGAAGATGCTCTGTTTACCTAGATGAGATAGTTTTTTCTCTTATTGTTACTGTTTGAACAGATGGCTTTTGCCATGTAAAACATGGCATTTGGTGATCAGTTGGGAATTGCTGAATATGGGAGATAATTCTATAAAGAAACCATTCACTTCAGGTTGGAACAATGATATTCTACCTAAAAAAGTATAGTTAGGAAGAATGTATTATAATAGGTATTCAACACTCAGGATGACTCTGTCAAAAAATGTGATGGGGAAACCAGAGTTTAGTTTTCTAGTAACACAGTATACATATCTTCCAGTCAACCTGGAGCATGGTTTACCATACAGTCATTTCCATCACATTACAAACAACGTTGCATGGAGTTAAACAACAGTAAGAAGACCATATAATAGCTCATTTTTGACAGAAATACACTAGCAAAGTAATATCACTGCGAAATCTGATGGAGACATATAACCCTTAAATGTCCTTTGGCTGATATGTGTGCATGTGTGTTCGGGAATGGAATGAAAGGTACAGAAAATGTACTAAGGAAATAACAAACATTAATTTCAAATGAGGAAGATTAAAGAGGACACTTAAAATTTGTATAATATTTGGAAACATTTTCATGTCCTTTGTGAGAATGATTCTTTAGTTTCTGTAATTTTTAACATATTTTGAAAGCCTTTTTTTCTTCCCAGAGATATTTCTAATAGTTAAGAAGTTGTATTTGTCTAAGTATATCTTTGTATTTAATACTGAAAAAATTTATGCATGACCATCTCAGTGGGAGGTATCTGACGGAAAATAATTTTAGTTGTATGTCCTCTACAATGTTTAGGAGTTCTCAGCAGATACGGTGGCGTTTCTTTATAGCAATAATGGATGCTAACATGGTATGTTTTCAGAGATACTAATACCACTGTGTAGTATACCAAGATTATAGATAGGGTTAGGCAAACTTTTTCTGTAAAGGGACAGATAGCAAATATCTTTAGATTTGTGGGCCATATGGTTTGTGTTGTACCTCCTTAACTTTATAGTGTGAAGAGAGCCGTAGATAATAGATAAATGAATGAGTAGGTAGATTCAGCCTGTGGGCCATGGTTTGCAGACCTCCATAAATACTCCTTGTTTTAAACTACAAATACATTTTGAAAACCTTGTGTATAAAAACGAATTGCATTTTGGGTGTAGTTATTCATGCGCTCAGCAAATACTTATGCTGGTAGTACCTGGCATATAAGCTTTTAAATGGACTAGGCATAAAGTATTGTACAAGGCAGACATGATTTCCACCCTTGTAGAGTTCACAGTATAATGAGGAAAACAGGCACTGACCAAATGTTTAAGTGCATTAGAAGAACAGTAACATTGAGTGGGCTCACAATAAAAAGCCCTGTGGTGAATTGTTTGTAAAATGAGTAACTGTGGTGGATAGCCAATAATCACTCTTTATAATTTCCATTCATTAAAATTTTTGCTACATTTTCCTACAAGAATATTGGCATTATATTGTATCTTCTCAAAGGCAACTTATATAAACAAAGCATTTTTTCTTGTTTACAGTACTCATTCAAAATAAATTAGCATGTGGATAACCAGAATTATAGCAAAGTCTACTTGATTGTTCAGTGTTTTGCCTTTCAAATATAATTGTTGAATTTCATTGTCTCAGCTCAGTGTCATCTTAACAGATATATAATATTTATTTTTGATCTGTAGAGGTCCATTACCATCTGAAGGGATAGTTCATCTTCATTCAGAAACTAAGGTATGAAATCAAACTTTCTGTGAGTTCAATTACATTTTGTAGAACTTAGGTTATTTTTTAGCCTTTTTTAGACAAAGCAGAGAAGGGGTATGACTCAACAGAAATAGAATATCAACCTTGATACTCAGAGGTACACATTTATGAAATGTCACTCATAAAATAAATCGAATCCTTTGTTGTCTCATAATTTCACTGAATAATTTGGAGGTACAGTGGAAAAAATTCTAGGTGAAATGACTTTGTAAACTGAGGCTTTGTATTTTTTCTCTGAAGCTTAAATCTAGTAGAAGAACTGAAAAGAATGATACTCATATACAAAGAAGGTGATTTGAAAAGTGTGTTTGTTTATTTAAATATTTACAGTGTACTCTTCCAGGCATAGAGCGTACTGGGGTCTATGTTTCCCACCCATGGAGACCTAAGCCAAGGGAAATGTATACCCGAAGGGCACGAAGGCCTGCCTGGGGGAATAACTGGTTGATGAGGAAAATTAAAATCTGTGAATCAGAACGTCCAGATTTATTAATGATATTCCACTGGCTGGCTGAATACCTTTGAATCTTTAGGACTCATTTTCCTTATCCTTGAATTTCTTGGTTCTGGTGTTATCTAGGTCTTTTCCAGCTGTATAGTTATGATATTCCTGAAAACACATTTTTAGTAATTCCATGAAAATAGCAGTTTTTCTGTGTAGCAAAATAGCAATTCTATGTGTTACTGAATTGCTTTCTTTGGCAAATGATTAGACTCTAATTAATAAAGACTTTCAATTCTTTTCATATAGCCAAAGACCAAAAACATTGATCCTATAAAGAAGGTTGAAAACAAATTACACTCTGCAGATAAAGGAAGGAAAACAAATTCAAGGTAGAGTATAGTTTTCAAAGTATTTCTTTTTTTAGTTTTGTAATTCACAATACCATCATTCTTAATTATTAATCTCTTTCTGTTTCTCCAGATCTCTTTATACCCTAAACATAAACTTTCACCACTTATATCTTATCCACATTCAGTAACTTAGAACATTTTCTACTCAGAAATGTTTTGTAGCAATTAGCGGATACTTTGTATTGTTCTATTAAGCCAACTCGCCAAAAATTTAAAGTTTATTAAGCCAAAAATTTAAAATTTTTATATATGTTATTTCTAGTGAGTTATTTTCTTAGAACTGTGACTACAACTGAGGGTTTTTTTTGGTGGGGGTGGGGGGTTGTTTGTTTTTTTTTATGTCTGCCTAGTTCTCCCAAATAGGCTAAGTGGTCTAGTTTTTGAGCATTTGACAAAGTGCACACATTATTTTGTCTTTTGAGCTACAGAATGATTTGGCATGCTCTTAATAGGACTATAGTATAATTATAATTTACATTTTGTTGTTTTTGGTGAGAAGGAATTCAAGACAGTTATTATTATTATAAGCATAAAATGGGACCCAAGATGCTCCCAGGGATAGGAGGCTTTCTAGCAAAGGTGGGGGGATTGGGTTGTACCAACCTTCTTCTTATTCTCAGTAAGTTTTTAAATTTATATGTCCATTACTTACCCAGACTGATAATTGCACTGTAATTCTGGGAAAATTCTTTGTTCATTTTTGTGTCTTTTGTTTAAATAACTTTTTTGGGTGTTTGGGGTTTTTTTTTTATTTTTTGAGACAGAGTTTCGCTCTTGTTTCCCAGGCTGGAGTGCAATGGCGCGATCTCGGCTCACCGCAACCTCCGCCTCCTGGGTTCAGGCAATTCTCCTGCCTCAGCCTCCCGAGTAGCTGGGATTACAGGCACGTGCCACTATGCCCAGCTCATTTTTTGTATTTTTAGTAGAGACGGGGTTTCACCATGTTGACCAGGATGGTCTCCATCTCTTGACCTCGTGATCCACCCGCCTCAGCCTCCCAAAGTGCTGGGATTACAGGCGTGAGTCACCGCGCCCAACCTTGGGTTTTTGTTTTGTTTTTTTTAATAAAAGGGAGGGAAAAAGTAAAGTGAAGTGATGAGAAACAGAAAATAACTATACTATAGATTTCAAAAAAGAATATACACACTATGTACAAGTATATGTAACTGGAAAGGGCTATGTTTTCAGACGTCACATTTTCTTTTTTTAAAAAAATGTGCTTTTTCAAATAGAATTATGAAGCCTAAGACCTATCTGATAGAACAATAGGGTGACTGTAGCCGATAATAACTTACTGCTTTTTTAAAATAAAGAGTGTAGTTAGATTGTTTGTAACTCAAACAATAAATGCTTGAGGAGATGGATACCCCCTTCTCCATGATGTGCTCATTTCACATTGCATTCCTGTATCAAAACATCTCATGTACCCCCTAAGTATGTACAACTTCAGTGTACCCAGAAAAAATTAAAATTTAAAGAATTCTGAAGCCTTTGCTTAGGTTTTAAGAGTGAATTCGGCTTTCAGAACCATAAAGCTGTTTTTGTGTCAATGAATTAGGCCTGGCCCATTTTCAGTGCCTTAGAAATGAATTTTATTTTGTCTTCTCCATTTCATTAAAAAAATCAAACCCAACTTTTCGTTTAATATTGATCGCAATAAGAATGTGTTTCTTTGGGTGGATAAAATGTGCTTTGATTGAGCTAATAGCTCTTCACTCTGTAATTTTTTCTCGAGAGGTATTTTTCTTTGCTGTTTGCAGAATTATGGCCAGGGTGATGTCAGTTTGTACAGTCTTTTTCCAGAGGCATGTAAATTTAAAAGCTACAGGCTGGATTTGACCTAGTAGGCCAAGTGCAGTACTCTTAGTTTTGGTATTCTCTTATTTGGAGGCAAAATCCAGACCATCTGGCCTCATAAAGCCTTTTCTAGCTCTGTGGTCATGTGATTCATAAAGACCAGAAATCTGCTAATTCTCTTATAATATAGTCCTTGAAAGTATCATATGTAGACATCATCATAAATTTAAAATGTGTAATAGTAGTCTCATAATCCTTAAAAATTTTAATTACAGATTTCACCATAAATTTAAATTTATAATAATTTTCATCTGCTTATTTGGGTAAAAGGCATGTATCTTTTCTACCTTCCTATTTTGTTCACGTGTATGTACATACATATTTAATTTTTATTTTTTAGTGTTAAACTGAAATATTCTGATGTACAGACTGCCAACGATGTTGCCATTCCAGAGGATTTTTCAGACTTTTCCCTTGCAGAAACATTTAGCAAAATTGAAGGGCAACTGGAGGAAGAAGGCTTACCAGAATATATAGATGATATTTTTTCTGGTGCTAGTAACGACATTGGAGCAGGTAGATTTTCTTTTGTTTTTTATTTTTATCTTTATAGCACAGTTACTTAGAAAAAGAAATACTGGGAAACTATTTCTTAAATTTAAAAAATGTATTGTGATATCTTGGTTTGTTTCAGAATCATCTAGTAGAATGTGGTGGAGGGAGGAATGAATGGGATTATAGATGAAATAAAATTGGCCATCAGTCAGTTATTGTTAAAGATAGGCAGTGAGGTAAGTGGGGATCATTGAACTCACCTACTTCTGTTTATGTTTCATATTTTCCACTATAAGAAGTAAAAATAAAAAAGACTATATTGTACTAGTTTGATTGAATACATTTTGACTTAAGTTAAAATACCCATTGCTTATGATTAAAATACTGAAAAAAAGTTTTTCTGAATTCTTTTCATTTACTGTTACTCTATTTTATTTAGTTAATACATGCAAAAGGACAAATGAATTGACATTCTATCAGATAAAATAGTCAAATGAGTTTTCTAATGAATCTAATTTTTCTTATTAACTCATCCTTTGCATATCACTAGAATAATAGTACTAAATTTAGGTCAACTGAAAACATTACTGAATTTATGAGTAGCCTCCTGTGCTATTGAAACAAAGTAAGTTGAGTATGGACTAGTTACTGCTGAACTACAATGCGATCAACCGTGATTACAGGCAAGCCCTTTAGCCCCTCTGTAATAGCAATTTATTCATTTGAAAATTTAGCAGTTTGTATTAGATGATCATAATGTTTATGTATTAGTTTGTTCCTACACTGCTATAAATACCTGAGACTGTGAAATTTATAAAGAAAAGGTTTAATTGGCTCACAGTATTGCACACTGTACAGGAAGCATGGCAGTTTCTGCTTTTGGGAAGGCCTCAGGAAGCTTCCAGTCATGGTGGCAGCCAAACCAAGGAGTGAGGGATCTCACCTGATGTGAGCAGTGGTGCGATCTTGGCTCACTGTAACCTCCGCCTCCTGGGTTCAAGCAATTCTCCTGCCTCAGCCTCCTGAGAAGCTGAGACATGCTTTTAAACCAGATCTCAGGAGAACTCACGGTCATGAGGACAGTACCAAAAGGGATGATACTAAACCATTCATGAGAAACCACCTCCATGATCCATTCACCTCCCACCAGGCCTCACCTCCAACACTGGGGATTACAATTCATCATGTGATTTGGTTAGGAACACAGATCCAGACCATGTCAGTTTATCTTTAAAATTCTCTGATTCTGTGAAAAATCATAACAATTTATATGTGTAATAGTTATTGTGCTACATACTAGTCATAAAGGAGCAATTTACTTCTGTACTTGCTGTATTTACTAACCTAATCAAGCTTCTAGGGGTAGTTGTGGTAAGGGATGGTAAATGGAGCAGTAAGTTGCCTTTAGGACTCTTTTGATGCTTTTGAGAAAGATGTTGATCATTCCTTGGTAGAGGAACATGGTGACAGGTCCCATGGCCCTGTTATAACTTTGCCCCCCTCTGTTTTCTTTTTCATATCTTTGGCCTAGGTGTCTTCCCTTTTGGGAAAATTTTCTCTTATTTCAGATGATTGCTTGGAACGGTTTGGTTATATGTGGGAGAAAAACATAAAGTAGTTTGGGAGCACAGATTACTTTGTAAGATTAAAGCTAGGGTCAAGTGGGGAGCAGAGGTTAGTGCTGTGGGCCTCCAGACATGGGAGCACTCAGCTTCTTGAGTTAGAGTTGAGGTAGAGTTACTAAGTTTAAAGTTACTGAGAAAAATAAATGGAAAAAGTCATGCTTTCCTGTTTTTTCCTCCTCCTCTCCCTCAGAGGCCAACTACTGCCAACTTTACATTTTTTAATTTGTCATTTCCCTCTATTCCCTACTCACCTGGAGTTACATGAGAGACTGGAAGGAGAGTTAAGGCCACAGAGACCTAGGTAGGGTTAGAGACAACTGTGATTCATCAGCTACATGGTAACACTGAGGACACTAAAAATAGCTGGAAGTGTGTATGGAGATGCTTTATGTTTCACATGTCACATGTGTATGGCTTAGTGGAATTGGTCCTAATGACTTGTCAGAGCAGTTCCAACTGTTTCGTCAAGATAAGTTCCATGACGTTAAGTGTTGTTTTATAATATCCCTACTATGCCATATAGTCTCCACTGTGATAGCAGACACTTGGTGTTTTTTAAACAAATGACTGAATGACTTACGAGTGCATTCTAAGTTCAGTTTTTACTTTATTTACTTTACGGGCCTATAAACCTCAAAGATTTACTGCTGATATTATTGAATAATGAACTTTTGCTAGCACTGAAGTACCAAAGATAGATCTTGAAGGTTTGTGGGAGAAAGCTTAGACAGTAAGATATTAGTGTATTTCTTTGCTTCACAAACACATGTACTACATTTTAACTTCTCAGAAATTGGGATCTTTGTTACAGTCAATGACATTTTGTAGTCACAGTGGCTGGATTGAAGCTGAGTTTTGTTAGAGAAGATTTATGTCTGTGTCTGTCAGATACTCAGGGACATTAGACCTGAGACCACTTTAAATTCTCATACGTAGTTTGGATCACCCTGGTGAGCGTGAATTCAATCTGCAAACTTAAGTGAATTGTTTCTTTCTGTTGAGTGGATTTATTCCTCATTGACCTTTACGTTAGGACTGTTTATGCCTGCAGTGCCCCCTAACAGATAATCTCCTATTAGACTCCCCATCTTGAGTATTTTCTTCTTTATAAAGTAATGGTCCTACACTTCAGGTCATCTTAGATTAAGCAAAACTCAGTAAATATAATTATTTAAATTCACAGAAGCACAGCTCAGATTTCTAAAGGCCAAACTCCATGTTATGCAGGAAGAATTGGATAATGTTGCATGTGAATGCAATAAAAAGGTAAGCTTTAAAAACCTCTTAAAAGGCTCTAATATTGAAAGACATTATAGGGCAATTTCAATTACATTTTTTGAATAGCTTTATTTAGATATAATCATAGTTATATTTTGAATTCAAAAATTGTATATAAGTATTGAACTTTATTCTGGGATGAATTTTCACAGAGCTGAAATATCTTAAATTCTTGTCACAATTAAAATTCTCATGTAAGTGGTAGTGTAAGCTATTAAATGCAAATAAAAACATTTGACTTCCGTTTTTGAAGACAGACTGTGATTTGTTTTTCATGAAATGTGTATAAATATCAAAGAACATAAGAAGCTTCTTTTTGTTTTCTGCTTTGGTTTGATACCAAGTCTTAAATTTTTTCACATAATCTATAATTTCATAACTACAGGAGGATGAAATTCAGAATTTAAAGTTACAAGTAAAAAATTTTGAAGAAGATTTTATGAAACAGCAGCGAACAATTCATATGCAACAGTCTCAAGTTGAAAAATATAAGACTCTTTTCGAAGAAGCAAACAAAAAGTGTGGTGGATTAGAGCAACAGTTGTCTTCGGTAGAAAAGGTAATTATTTTGGTATTTTTCCCAACTTAATTCCAAAGATACAATAAAATTATTAAGATTACACATTTGTATAGATGCCATTTTGACAGTTCAGTTATTTTATTAGTATTTACTGAGAACTCTTTCCCCTTACACAGAATACTTTTCTACAACTTTATTGAGATGTATGTAAGTCACCCTTTTAAAGTATACAATTCAGTGGCTTTTGGTGTTTTCATAGAATTGTGCAACTGTCACCACAACCAATTTTCATAATCCCTAAAGGACGCTTCATACCCTTTAGCCACCACACCCTGACCCTGCTCCCCTGAATTTCTTACAGCCCTAGGCAACCACTAATCTATTTTATATCTCAATAAATTTGTTCCGAAAACTTCCTATACATGGAATCATATAATATGTAGTCTTTTGTAACTGACTTTTAAGATATTTTTAGGGTTCATCCACGTTGCAGCACCTATCTGTACTTTATTTCTTTTTAGTGACAAGTAATATTCTGTTATATGGATATAATACATTTAATTTATCTGTTTATCAATTGGTAGCTTTGGGTTATTTAGACTGTTTCTACTGTTTGGCTATTTTAAACCCTACTTTGATTATTCATGTATAAGTTTTTGTGTGGACATGTTTTCATTTCTCTTGGTTATATAGCGAGGAATGGAATTGCTGCGTTATATGGAAATCCTATGTTGACCTTTTGAGGAATTGCCAACTGTTCCCCAAACTGCATGTACCATTTTACATGCCTACCAGTAGTGCATGAAGGTCCTAATTTTTCCACATCCTCACCAACATCTGCTAGATGATGTTTTTGATTATAGCTATTCTGCAGGTGTAAAGGGGTCTCATTGTGGTTTTGATTTGCGTTTCCCTAGTAACTAATGATATCGAACATCTTTTCATGTGCCTGTTGGCATTTGTATATCTTCTTTGGATAAATTTCTGTTAAGATCTTTACCCATTTTTAAATTAAATTTTTAAAAATTACTGAATAAAGAGAACTTTTAAGTTCTTTATGTATTTAGGTAGAAGTCCCTTATCAGATAGATGATTTGCAAATCAGATACTGAAAGACAGTGGGTTGTCTTTGACTTTCTTTATCGTACTCTTTGAGGCACAGAAATTTGCAAATGTTAATACCCAAGACATTGGGGGCATTGTTAATACCTAAGACATTGGCGTATTTATTATTTACAAATCTCAAGTGGAGTGCATTTTCTACTCTCACTTTCTGAGAAGCCAATTCCCTCTCGCACGTTTGGAGATGATTATTAAACAGCTGGTCTTTTTTCCTCAACTTTCCAACACCGCTTCCTGCCTCCTTATATTTGGTTCATGACTTTGCCCCCTTTTTTATTAAGGAAAGAGAATCAAAAGGTAACATCGTCCTTTCACTAAAATCTACAACCTCTCGGCCTCTCTGCCACTCACTACTCCAGTTAACAGTGAATTACTACCTCTTCTGTCTAAAGCTGATCCCTTCATTGTGTACTGGATTCCATATAGTCTCTTCTACTCGAGGACTTTGCACCAGCGACTGTCCTTTCTCTTGCAAAATCCCTTTTCCCTGCTTTTTCTTGATAGTGCTTATCACTACTAGATATTACATATGTGTATGCGTATATATGTGTTCTTCTTCTGTCTCTTCTAGAATGGAAATGTCATGAGAGGGGGAACTTTGGTTCATTTGTGTGCCCATGATGTAGAATAGTATCTGGCATGTAATAAGTGCTTGATAAATGTGTCAAATGAATGAAACCTGTTAGGTATAGATAATATCACTCCCAATTTCAGACATGGAGATGTGTCTACCACAGCTGGCAGGTTTTCTGACTCCAAGTCTGTTCTTTTATATCTTAGCTACTTGTTTATGAAACCTTGATTATTTATCCTCATCTTTTTATTTCTTACCTGCGGTGCTTTGTGTTATTCTCAGAGCATATATCTTGTCTTCTGCTGTGGCTGATGAATGCCCCTCTTTTCTTGCTGTCTCCCAGTGCCTTTTATGAATGCTTTAATAATCATGAGAGAGTGATAAATTATTTTTTCTTGTAGCTCACAGTATTTGAATTTTAATGTTAATTTTTTTTTTTTCAGTTTTTAAAAAACGAATGTACAACTCAAGACTTCAGATTTTTTCATGAACTTTTGTTTAGCAACATGTAACTGCTTACATTTTTTTAACAGAATTTTTTTTTAGTAGATTTACTCATATAGTAAAACTTTATTTCCTCCTTTCTATTCTGGCTGTCATTTTCCCCCCATCCCTCCCAAGAAGGGGGAGTATTCATTCAGGGATAGGGGACATCGTGTGGTACAGGATGTTTTTCACTTTTCTAGTAGGTTACATTTTTCGTTTTTCTGGTAGGTTACAAAGTCACCAGCAGGCAAAAGAAGGGCAAAAATTCATTTCTTTATTCTTAAGAGGGAAGGCTGGAATGAGGCAGCAAGTAATGTGGACTTTGTAGCTAATGAGAATCTTTGCCTTTTCTGCGTGAACAGTAGGATAAATCAAGCTAGCTCTACCTGTAGCTACCACCCACAAAACTGTGAAGAAGGCTATGATAGCAGATGGTATCCATACACAGTTTGTTTAGAAACCTACATAACAAGCAGCATGTGTTTTGTTTTGTTTTTCCCCTTAATTACTCAGAGTCAGGGAGACCAGTTTCTAAATAAAATATAGTGAGATAGCCATGAAAAAAGTTACAAAAGAATATAGACAACTGTATTTTAACTGTATCGTTTTTATTGTACCATGTTTTTTGAGTGTCTGCTCAATTTATTGAATAAGACTCTGGACTAGGCCTTACATTGTAGAGGATATAAAGGAGAGTGGGTTTAGTATTACAAAATAAGTTCAGTTTAATTAACATGTTGTTAGTGTCTTTTATATGCCACTGAAGTGTTTCCGATACGCAGAAATTAAGACAGCTCTTTTCTTCAAGGAGCTTACACTACAATGGGGGAAATAAAGTTAAGAAATAGTTTCAATACCACATAGCAGATATGATGATAAATGTGTCTAAAGGTGCTACAGAAGTTCTGAAGAGGGTACTTAATAGAATCTGGGTGGATAGTGAGGATTAAAATGGAAATAGGTCCTGAGCAGCTAATGCCCTAGAGTATAAACCTAGCTGAGTAAGTAGGTGCTAGCCAGGTAAAAATGAGTGGGCAGAGACCAGAGCTAGGAGGAAAAGCATGAGCAGAGACTGAGACAGGAAACACCATGGCTGTTTAGGAGAGATCCAAGTACTGCCGATATTACTGAAAGTAACATCTTTGGCAGGAGATGAGGCTGGTTAACAGGGTAAAGATTATGGTGGAGTTCAGAGTTTATCCTCGATGTCCATGTTTCTTCAGGTGTTGGCCTGTTGACTTTTTGAACAGAATATCCTAGAATGTTTGCAGAAATATAAGACTAAACTCATCCCAGGATGTGGAAAATAATCTATAAGATCTGTTGTTTCTGCTCAGAATTGGGATTTTCCTATAGAGCTATATAGAATGTTGTGTACTTGATGAATACATTCTTAAATGATACACTTTGTCAGGTATATAGAAAAACAGCGGAGGGTTTGTCTTAACATTGGTCTTTTTGGGAGGTTCCCAAAAGAAGAAATATAGTTAGAAAGAGTTGTTTATGAAATAGAGGACAGGTATACTGTGTCTTGAGTCAATAAACAAAATTCCAAACAAAACGTAATTTGAAAGCCCAGGTCACAACTACGTTTTTTAGGATATATTTCTCTAATATCAGTTTGGGGCGAGAATTCCTTGAGACGTCTAACACTTAGTGTTCAGCCTCCAGCTGGCCGTGTGTGTCTGTGTGTAAATCTGAGAGAAAGCAAGGAATATGGATGCGGAAAACACTGCAGAATGATAAAGTGGGGGAACCTATGATGTATTTGTAAATGTTCTATATCTTTTTACTATACAGGAATTAGAAGACAAAAGAAGATTGCAGAAACAGGCTGCAAGTAGTCAAAGTGCCGCAGAGGTTCGCTTGAATAGAGCTCTAGAAGAAGCAGAAAAGTATAAACTGGAGTTAAATAAATTAAGGCAAAATAACAAGGTATGGAAAAATTGAATAGCTTTTGTAGTGATCTCTTTTGGTAACTGGTTCTTTTAGGAACCTGTCAGAATAATACTTAAATTATAGTTCTTGATGTCATGCTGAACATTGCCTTTTCAGAAGAAATACATGCATCTGTAGTATGCAGATTTCCAACATGTTAGGGTGTTATGCTTGTCTGTTGCCATAAATGGGTGATGGCACAACTCTTGAAGATTCATTTCTTCAACCAGTTTTATCAGGTGCCCATGTTATGTCAGGTACTTTTCTAAGCTCTTAGAAAAAGTATCTTTTGTATCTCAAGTCTTTTATTCTCTGAATCTCAGTTTTCTAATACATAAAGTAAGGCTGTATTTTACAGGGCAGTGGTTCTCAAACTTGAGCATGTGTCAGAATCTCCAGGAGGGCTTGTTAAAACAAATTGCTGGGTCCCATCCCCGGAAATCTGATTCAGTAGGTCTGGAGTGAGGTCTGAGAATTGGCAGTTTTAACAAGTTCCATAAATTATTGTAAGGATCACTGTAACTCCAGTGTCTAGCCAATGCTTGGCGTAGATTAGCATTCTGTGCCTTAAATACTGTTGAATAAATGAAGGCTCAAATGCCAATGTGCATGAGAGCCGTTTGTACATTCTATAAATACTTGTTACTTTTTGGTTCTATCTTGACCTAAAAGGATAATAAGTGGTATTCCATTGGGCTCTGTTTAGTACTTAGGACAATATTTGATAATTTAACATGACTTGGATAATGAAATTAGGAACCACCTTCATTATATACACAGATAATACATTTTGGATTAAGTTAACACTTAATAGGAATAGACTGAAACTGACTTTGGTAAGTCCTGTAACATGTTTGAGAGGCAAATATGTGGCATAGTGACTACAGAGTTTTAAGATGTCGTCTGTCAGATAGTTTGTTACATGGTCAGGTCATTTTCATACTCACGGGCCATCAATGATGGCATAAATGGGATTTATTAATAGAAGTTATTAATAAGTTAGGAAGTTGTCTTTACAGACCTACTAGTAATTAGCATGTTATTAGAGTATTACTCCCAATTTGGTGCATTTTAAAGGGATTTTGAAGAAAACAAAAGAAGAATAGCCACCTAAGTATCAGGATTTCCTAACTGTTGTAGATTTGATCTCTATATTGTATTAGTTCACATATTAAGAAAGTAGAAAGAAAAATGGTTTCCATGAAACAGATGACTCTCCATATTCTAGCCAGCCATTTTGTTTCGTTTTTGGGGGCTTGGGGGTACATGTGAAGGTTACCTAGGTAAACACATGTCATGCGGGTTGGTTATACATACATTTCATCACCTGGGTATTAGGCTCAGTACCCAATAGTTACCTCTTCTGCTCCTCTCCCTCCTTCTGCCTTGTCCACTTCAAGTAGACCCCATTGTCTGTTGTCTCCTTCTTTGTGTTTCATAAGTTCTTATCATTTAGCTCCCACTTATATGTGTAAAGAAGTGGTATTTGGTCTTCTGTTCCTATCTTCATTTGCTAAGGATAACGGCCTCCAGCTCCATCCGTGTTCCCACGAAAGACATGATCTCGTTCTTCTTTACGGCTATGTAGTATTTCATGATGTATGTGTACCAAATTTTCTTAATCCAATCTGTCATTGATGGGGCATTTAGATGATTCCATGTCTTTGCTATTGTGACTAGTGCTGGAGTGAACATTTGTGTGCACGTGTCTTATAGTAGAATGATTTACATTCCTCTGGGTATATTCCCAGGAATGAGATTGCTGGGTCGAATGGTTCTTTGAGGAATCGCCACCCTGCCAGCCCTGCTCTCTGACTCCTCAGTCCAGTAAGACTACTACTTTTTGCCTGTGTTCTAGTTCTGTGAACCCACGAACTGGAAAGTGCTCTCAGGAGAAGCTAGTTGACTGTGGATCTCAACCAGTATTTCTGTTCTTTTAAGAATCATATCACTTCCAGTTTCTACTTATTAATGATTGCTCATCTATGCTTTTAAATATATTTTTTAAAATTCATAATTCCAGAGTTTATGTTGGTTCAATACAAGCTACTTTGCTGTTACTGGAATTAGAATTATTTTTAAAACGTTTTAAAATGTGAAAGACCTGAGCATGACTAAAAGTATTAGATTCCAGCAAGTTGGTAATGGAAAGCAATTTTATCTACAAAAAAATTTATATTTCAATTTTAAAAAGTACTTTTTATTACTGTTGTGATAGTCTATAATTCTTTCCATTGAAAGGCTATATATTAAAAAAGAATATATGGCACTTTTTTTCTTTTTGTAGGACATAACAAATGAACACCACAAAAAAATTGAAGTGTTAAAATCAGAAAACAAGAAGCTAGAAAAACAAAAAGGAGAATTAATCCTAGGATTCAAGAAACAGTTAAAATTAATTGATGTTTTAAAAAGGCAGAAGGTGAGTCTGTCATTAAAGTTAAATCATACTATTTGTACCTTTGTTACTAAAATTAGGATTTTTTACTTTAGTTATGTTTAATTTTTGACATTTTTAGGCATCAAACATCATACAAAAATGCATTATATGTATAAATCTCACTATATATGTTAGATTTCATATGTATAATGTGTCATCTAAGCTAGTGGATATTTTCATTTAAGTAAATTATTGTAGAAAATGGGACTGGAAAATACAGTATAGGTACTTCTCAATTACAGAAGGTACCAAACTAAAGAATGACTATTATCTTAGGGGACTGACTGCTTCCTGTTCATAGTTCTGACAGACACTTTCCTTCTTTGCAAAGATCAGGTATTACAATGTCACTGAATTACCCTAAAAGTAAGTTGGTTCAGTAGTACTGTTGGGAACAAAGTCTTTTATCGGTTGGTTCTTGAATGTATCATGCTTATTGGAATTAAGAGTGTATGTTCCTACAACAGAAATTACAGGCTGACAATATATTAGTCCCACATTTTTACAAATTTCCTGTTGTTGGGTGACCTACTCTTAAAAAATCAGTATTGTCTGATTTTGTATTAACAGATGCATTTTGAAGCTGCGAAGATGCTGTCTTTCACTGAGGAGGAATTTATGAAAGCACTTGAATGGAATGGGGAGATAAATAAGTGATCTACTTCAGTAAGTCTCTATGACAGTATGTGATGGATAGCCGTGTTACTTACTGTAATAGTTTGAATTATTTTTATTCTTCATAAGAAATGAAGTTGAAATAATTTCATAATCCCAGAACTTCATTTCTTATGAAGAATAAAAATAATTCAAAGAATTCCCTGTTTAGATTTGAGAGATACAAAATTGATGCATTATTCTGATATGTAGTTATTATTAGAAAATTTTTTTAAAACAAAGCAACAAGAATTTAACTTCTGAGTCGCTATCTTATGACCTTTTATGTTCTTTTTGAGTTTGTTTTCTAAGTTCTTAATGTGACAATTAGATAATAAAATTCTTCATTGTTTTCATTTACAATTCTCCTCCCTTACAGTAGAATGAAAAAGGTGCTTTATAACAAAATTCCAAACATTTATTTCCCTGGCCAAATCAAGCTAAGTTCCAAAACACAGAAGGCAGTTCACTGTGCAGTAGAATTCTATTATCAATACAAAAATAACAGTTTGATTTTTATCTGATAATTCTTTACAAGTTATGAAATTCAGTGATTTACAAAATCCAAATACACAATGGATTCGTACTGCCACTGAACTATAAAACAAAAGTTATGCTGACATCTAGTGATGACATAGAAATAAACTAGGTAACATACAAAATTTACCCAATTTTGATGATATCATTTCTCTTCACAAATATCACTTCTTTGTTGATACACTTTCTTAAACTCTTCACCAAGCAGATCAATATCATCCTCTTTTTTAAATACTCCCTACAAAAAAAATATTTTGTGGGTTACTTTTGTACCAGAGTATTTCACTAAATGCTTTTAAGACTGATAGACATGATGTTAGTAAAGTTAGTTATCTCCAAGGTAATGAAACTTTTAAATAAAAAATCAATCCTGTCCAAAAATTGACTTGACATGTATATTGAATATTCTTAGACTGGCCCAATTTTTCTGATTTATCAGCTCTCCTGTAGGAGATTGTCATACGAATCTGAGCTCTTATAGAGGTTCTACTGCGCTTAGCTTAAAATAGCTCTATAATATAAGAGTGAGCTGTGATAGACTTATACATGGGATCAGTTCTGTATGCCTCAGTTCTATGGCTAAACAATCAATCTTGCAGAAAAGAATCAAGGTTTAGAGTTAAGCCATTTAAGCAAACCCTTTGGAATTCTTCACTTTTATATTTTTCTTTTCTCCTACAGTATACAACAAAAGGCTCTTTAAAACAAAATTAAATATTTACTTTTATCTTGCAATCTAAAGAATTTTTAGGATAACAGGTCATTTGGGGCCATTAGGACCTAAAGGATAATGGCCATTTTTGGATATCAGGCTTATTAATCCCTCCTCCTGCCTCCACAATTATTTCACCTACAAAAATATCAAATCCCAAAGACATTCCTACAATTTAACTTATGAAATTTAGTAATTACATATGGATTTTATCATTAACACATCATTTTGTATTCCTCAATCCTGTGTAACCAATTAGACTATCAAGTCCTGTGGCCAGGCAATAATTACCTATATATTTATCTTTTTCCTTCCTTAGCACCAGACTGAATATAAAATATGCACTTGATTGTACTGAATAAAATATGAAATGGCATTTCTATAGCTGAAACATGGTGATCCTATTTGAGTCTAGATGTTTATGTAGCCTATCAAACATTTTTTTGAGACAGGGTCTCACTGTGTTGCCCAGGCTGGAGTACAGTGGCAAGATCATGGGTCACTGCAGCTTGAGCTTTCCAGATCAAGCAATCCTGCACCTCAGCCTCTAGCATGGCTGGGAATACAGGCGTGCAATACCACATCCAGCTAATGTTTTCTTTATTTTTTTTGTAGCGATGCAATCTCCCTATGCTGCCCATGATGTTCTTCAACTCTTGGGTTCAAGTGATCCTCCTGCCTCAGCCTCCCAAAGTGCTGGGATTAGAGGTACGATTCATTGTGCCCAGCCAGTTACTATTTTATTTGCAGTCATGACGTGTCTCGGCTGTACATTAAAATTCACTATCTTCTAGAATTTGAAAAATCAAGTTTAACTAGTTATAACTTCCTACTATAAAGCAGATCTGTCTCAAACTCATTTCAAGCACATGCCTGTTACTGGTGTTAGCATCAATTACAATGTTTTAAAATATATGCCAAAGATTAGAATGTAAGTATTATAGTTGTTCTAGAGTAGCTTTAGATTTCCTACACTAAAAGAAAAGAACAGAACCTCTAAAATACAAGTGGTGGCTCACGCCTGTAATCCCAGCACTTTGGGAGGCCGTGGAAGGCGGATCACCTGAGGTCAGGAGCTCGAGGCCAACATGGTGAAACGCTGTCTCTACTAAAAATACAAAAATTAGCTGGGTTTGGTGGCAAAGGCCTCTGATCCCAGCTACTAGGGAGACTTAGGCAGGAAAATCACCTCAACCCAGGAGGCAGAGGTTGCAGTGAGGCGAGATCACGCCACTGTACACCAGTCTGGGTGATAACTAATAAAGTTCAAATTCAATTGAAAAAGCTCGTAACTCTAATAATGTGCCAAGACCAACTCGCTCATTTTAGAGAGAGTGAAATGGGCCCAGAGAGGGTCAGTGCCTGGCCAGGATCCCACTGCTGCTTCATAACAGAGCAAAACCTAGGCCCTCTGAAATCCAAAAACCATGTTTTTTTTTCCCTATTAGAGGTCATGAAGATTACAACTTAAGATAAATCTCACTTACTTTAGGGAGATAGCCTAATAAGTTTGTAGCATGCTCTTTGAGAAGTTTTAGTCTTTCTTCTTCAATAATTGTATTAATAAATCCTTGCCGCCTTTGCTGCAACTGCCACTCTTCCAGTTCACGTTGCTGGAAATGCAAGTCAAATTTTGTTATCACAAACTACATTAATCATTTACGAAGTTTTCAAATAAACTAGTCATGCAATGAATTTGATAAAACTGATGAAGTATTTATGACACTAAGTTAAAAAGATTCTAGATAACATATATTTTATGTCTGCATATTTTATGTCTGCATACCTATCTATTTATCTTTTACTATCATTATTCCTTTAAAATTACAAGGAGGCAAACAAATAATTTTAGGCAAGTATCTTCATTACCAAGGGAAAAAATATTCAATGGAGTGACTGCGTAATACATTAAATATTTGCTGAATACTTACCATGTGCCAGATGCTGAAGAGTTTACAGTGTAAAACAAATAAAAAATAGAGAATAAAGAAGATCAGAGTCATCTGAAGGATAAATATTTTCATATATTGCTACATATCTTTTAAAAGATGATATGAAGCATGAGACTTCCATTAATATTTCTCAGGAAAGAGCTCTTGACTCTTAAATAATTACAAGAAAATTCTGGGCCATATGGAAGAAATGACTTGAGCTATGTGACAGAGAGTGAACTAACTACTAAGCCACTGTTAATTGGAAACTGTACTTGCATTCAAACCTCATTCTATCGTAATTCATCCATTCCTTATAAAGCGGAGATACAGGAAAGTTCTATAATGTTACATGGGAAAGCAAACTTGATAGATTTTTGTTCAATGGTAGAGTCTAATTTGGGCATAATACAGGATTTCCCTTCTTAGGATCTGGTAGGCCACATTCAATGTCTGTCCTAAACAGAGAACTTTATAGTAAATTAAATCGTTTAGGTAGTTATGACATCAACTTATCCATTTAGGACAAATTCTGAAAAGCTTTGGTGGTAGGAAACTATCTCCTGGGACATTTCAGATTTGTTTGACTAACCACATAATTTTTGTAGAGGTACATAGAATTATAGACACCTATTTAGGAATATCTCTGAAGTGCAAAAAAACATGGTTAGATCTTATAGGATTGTATAATGGCGTTAATGACTTTCATCATAAAGAACAAAAATGTTGCACAATCTTACTGACAAAACTAAGCATTATATTAGGAGCATTTATTAAGTCTTTAAAAATTAAGACAAATTATTTGTATAAGTACCTATGCATTAGGTGGCTTTATCTGATTTCCATTTAGCTGTTAGTCTGACTAATAATTAGTTGTTTTGCTAACTTTTCCAGGAGCTTTCTCCCATCCAAGTACTAACCAGGCCTGACCCTATTTAGCCTCTGAGAAAAGATGAGCTCCAATTTGAAGTATATTTGCAACATTTGCATTATTTTGATTCCAACTTTGTATAGTTTTAAAATAAGTTATATAAGTCTCATTTACTCTTCCTTTAAAAGTATTTACATTTTTCCCCTCCTACTTCTGATTTTTAGAACACCTACATATTATCCATTTGGTTCTTAAACTACAAAAATCTAGTGAAAAAATGCAAGTATTTAGTTTTACAGATGAGACATAAATAAATCACTGTGTCCAAAGCCACAAATCTAGTTCCCTCTCCAATGCTTAAATCTACATTTCCAACTAGAAATCTGCCCCTGGGCCACCCAAATCATTTTGGGTGGACAAAATGGAATTATTTTCCTCCTCAGATTCTATTTATCTTCCTATATACTCTTTCCTTAGGACATTGCCCACTCAATCATTAAAGATGGAAGTGAGGCACGGACATGGGAGGGAACATCATACAGTGGGGGATAAGGGGAAGGGAGAGCATTAGGACAAATACCTAATGCATGGAGTGCTTAAAACCTAGATGATAGGTGCAGCAAACCATCATGGCGCGTGTATACCTATGTAATAAACCTGCATGCTCTGCACATGTATCCCAGAACTTAATAAATTATTTGTTAGTGGTATCTTTAAGTCCTCTCTCACCTTCTAGATCTCACAGGTCACCAAGCCCCATCAATTCCATATCCTTAACATCTCTCAGGTGGATTCCTTCTCCATTTGCATGGATTTCACTACTTATCACTGGAATTACTATAATAACTTACTTACTGGTCTCCCTACCTCCAAGCTTACTCCTCTCATATCTACCTTCAATTGCTGTCACTTGCATTGTCTTTCAAAGTGCAGATCTTAATATATAGCTTTCCAATCTTCGATGGCTTCCCTTGGAAAAGCCCATCTTCTTAAAAGAGCATGCAGGGTGTTCATGATATGTTTTTCTCTCTCTGCCATACCAAAAACGACCATAGCTCTATAACCTATCACATGTATATGACATATTTATAATTAATTTTTATATATTTTTCTTAACCAAGACCATTATTCATAGATGGCATGGACTTGAGTCTTATTTACCTTTTATGTTCTCCGTACTAACCAGTGTTTGTTTGGCACATAGAAAACATCAATAAACATTTTCTAGAAGCATAAATGCTGAGAAAATTTATATAGTATACTAGTAAAGATATATCTAACACTATCTGGCATATAAAGCTTCTTAGTAAATGTTTAGTGGATGATAGATGAGCTAATTGCTGTTTAATGATAATGACCCAAAAAACCCCACAACTTTTTCTTACTTTGTCTGCAAGGAATTGTTTGCGACGCTCTTCAATAAGTTTTTCCACAGCCCTCCTGTGTTCCAGCTGCTTTGTCCTTTGTTTCTGAGCATTCATTAATTCTATTCGATCATCCTCAGCAAATTTAGCCAGCATGGTTTTTCTGAAGTTCTCCTCTTCCTCTTTTGCAGCCTGGAGCACTAATTCCTTCAAGGCTATTTGTTCTTCAAAATCTTGCTTCATCTCTTTTTGCTTTCTCAGTTTCTCTTCTGCTTCTTCCTAAACAACAAGGCTAAAAGTCAATTTAGGAACCACTTCCTTCTATCAGATTTATAAAGAAAGAGTGATAAAGTTTGGTTAAATTTAGTATTATAATATGAAATAATGCAAACTGAAAAAGGTTTTTCACAATAACACACTTCCCCCATCCCTTTAAAAGTAGCTGGATTTTTAAAGCTACTTTTCTTTTACTGTTTTCTGTTACTCATGTTATTCATGTTTACCATCTTGTTTCTCAGAATTAAGCCATAACTGCTTTGAAAAGAGCTGATCAAAACATTTTTTGACACCTAAGTTTATTAATCTGCGGTCTATGGTAAATATCAGTCATTCTAGAGTCTTACTTCAAACAGCTGTCTAAACCACAGATAAGCATTTTTCAGTTTCCAACTTCCTCCTCAAAATCAAACCTGCATTTACCTGCCTCCAGTCTTCTAATAAATAGTCCCTTCATTCTCTAAAATTTAAAAAACATCTACCAATGAAAATCAGTACTTCTTTAGGGAAATTCAAATTTACTTGAAGCAGTTAAGTCCTTTCCTCTATGTAAGCTTTTATTTTCTGAACATTTTATAATGAAAAATTTCATACATACCAAAAAAGATAATTTTACAATGGTCACTCACCTCTAAATAAATATTCATGCGCCAAAGAGGGAATGCCAAGGAAAATGAATACATTGTAGTTAATAAAAATGAGAGAGCAAAACTTGTAAGATGCTGCTTAAGCAATACTGAGACATTTAAAGAACTAAATGCATATATTTAGGAAAACGCATACATAGCACTAACTGCATCTATGTGGGGAAAGTCTGAAATCACTAATCTAAGCTTCCACCTCAAAACCTATTAAAAGAACTGCAAAGTAAACCCAAAATAAACAGAAGGAAGAAAATCCAAAAAAATGTAGAAATCAATGGAATTAAAAATAGAAAATAGACAATTATCAGTGAAACAAATGGCTGGGCTCTTAAAAAAAAAAAAAATCAGTGAAATGGACAGACCTCTAATAAGGCTGACCAAGAAAAAATATGAATGAATAAACAAACCACCAATATCAGGAATAAAACACAGGACATCACTACAGACCCTAGAGACATCAAAAGAGTAATAGAGGAATACTACAAAGTTTTATACATTTTGGCAACTTAGATGAAATGGATCACTCCCTTGAGAAACAAAAGCTACCAAAACTCACCAAATATGAAATAAGGTAATTTGAATAGTCCTATCACTATTAAGGAGAATGAATTAATAACTTAAAATTCCCTGAAAATAAAACTCCAAGTCAGGCTGGTTTCACTGGAAAATTCCATCAAACGTTTAAAGAATTAATACCAATTCTACATAATCGCTTCCAGGAAACTGAAGAGAAGGAAACATTTCCCCATTCATTTCATGAAGATAAAATTACCCCACTACCAGTATAATAATAAAAATTATAGACCAATATTCCTGGCATACATGGATGCACAAATCCTTAACGCAGTATTAGAAAATAGATCACACATTAAAAGAATGACCAACTAGAGTTTATTATAGGGATGCAAGGCTGATTCAATACTAAAATAAAATCAATGTAATATACTAGGTTAAAGAAGAAAAAGGGCAATCATATCAATAGAAAAAAGCATTTAACAAAATTAACACTCCTTCATGATAAGAAGCCCTCAGAGAAAAAAGAAGACTTCCTCAACTTGATAAAGAACACCTACAAAAAAAAAGCTATAATTAACATTATAGTTAATGGTGAAAAATAAATGCTTCCCCCTAAGATCATCATGAAGGAAAGGTGATGACTACTCTCATCACTCTTATTCAACATAGCGCTAGCCACTGGTGCTGGAAATTTAGCTAGCATGTAAATCAAGAAAAGGAAATAAAAAGTATATACAGATCAGAAAGTAAGAAACAGCCTCTACCTATGGGCAGAAGGCATGCCTGACTATGTAGAGAAAAAAATTTCTACAGCTAACAAGTGATTTCAGCAAGGCTGTGAGATTCAAGGTAAACATAAAAATATCAATTCATTAGCAATGCATATGTGGACACCAAAATTAAACCTAACGCTCCATTTACAATTTACAATCTATCAAAAAATGAAATACTTAGATGTAACAAAACACATACAGGATTCGTATGCTGAAAACTATAGAATCCTGATGAAAAAACTCAAAGATCGAAATAAAGGGACAGCCTATCATGAACTTAATCTAGTGCATTTATCAATTCTCCACAAACTGATACTCAAATTTAATGCAATTCCCATCAAATTCCCAGGAAAATTATTTATAGAGACACGAGTATTCTAAAATTCATACAGAAAGGCAAAAGAACTAGAATAGCTAAAAAAAAATTTTTTTTTCTTAAGACTTACTCTATACCTGCAGTATTCAAAACCATGTAGTATTTGTGGAAGGATGGATACATACACCAACAGAAAAAAAAACAGAGACCCCCAGGAATAGACTCACACAAATATCCCCAACTGTATTTTAAGAAGGGTGCAAAAGCAATTCAATGTTGGAGAAACAGCCATTTCAACTGATGGTGTAGAATAACTAGACATCCGATGGCAAAATCTGTATTTGACTTGTCTCATCGTTTGTAACAAAAATTAACTCAAAACAGATCACAAACTGAAATGTAAAATGGAAAAATAAGAAAAAACACGTACAGAAAGAAAAGGAGACATTCTTAAGGAACTAGGCAAAGAGTTCCTAGAGTTGACACCAAAGCATTACCTATAAAAGGAAAAATCAATAAACTGAACTTCATAGAAATGGAAAACACTCTAAGAAAAACCAGTGCACTAAAGTCATGTTAAAGGTATGAGACAAAGTTACAGACTCGGAGAAAATATTTGCAAACCACCCACCTGACAAAGGACTAGTTATCTAGAATATATGAATGAACAAACAACCCAATTAGAGAATCAAAGCAAAAGAATGAAGAACTATTTCATCAGAGGATCTTATTACACTGAAGAGGATAGCAAATAAACATATGAAAAGATGCTCAGAATCATTAGTCATCAGGAAAATGCAAAATAAAACCACAAGATATCACTACATGGATATTTAAAAGTGGCTTTAAAAAAACTTGAGTTTCTGAGGACAGAGGAGAAAAAAATTTAAAAATGGTGGCAACACCAAATGTTGGTGAGAATGCAGAGAGAATGTATAACTCATGCATTTCTGATGGGAATATTAAATGCTACAGCTGTTCTAGAAATCTCTTTGGCAGTCTGTTACACAGCTAACATGTAATTTACACAAAACTAAGCTAATGTACTCTTGAGCACTTATTGCAGAGAAATGAAAATTGATGTTTACACAAAAACCTGTATCTGAATGTTTATAGCATATTTACTCATCAGAGCCAAATATTGGAAACATTCCAAATGACCTTTACTGGGTGAATGGTAAAATAAGTTGGTACATACATACCCATGGAATGTTACTTGGCAATAAAAAGGAACAAATTATCACTACAAGCAACAACTTGGATGAATTTCCAGGAAATTATGCTGAATAAAAAAAGCCAACTCCAAAAAGTTACATGTTGTTTGACATCATTTATATAAGTCTTGAGGCACTTACTTTTTAACTAATATATAATTAAAGGTTCATCCATGTTTTAGCATGATCAGTCTGTCATTCTTTTTATAGCTGAATAACATTCTTACATGGATATATTTTTTGATCCATTCATCAGATATTTGGGTTATTTCTACTTTTGGGTTAGTTCCACTTTTTGACTATTATGAATAATACTGCATAAACATTTCTGTAAGTATTTGGGGAGACATAGGGTCATTAATTTTTAACCTTTCTTTTTTCTAATATATGCATTTAAAGATAAAAACTCTCCTCTAAGCACTGCATTAACGGCACATCACATATTTTGGTATGCTGTTTTTTAAATCATTTAGTTTGAAATGTTTTTCTAGTTCCTATTATAATTTATTCCCCTTTTCTCATTGCTTATTTAGATATATATTGTTTAATCATAATATATTTAAGGATTCTGTAGGTAAATTTTCATTACTGATTTTTAATTTAATTGCACTGTAGTCAGAAAACATACCTGGTATTAATTAAAACCTTGAAAACTTACTGAGACTTCATTTATGTACTATAAAATTATCTATTTTGGTGAATGTTCCATGTTTGAATGGAATTTGTATTCTGCTGTTGTTGGGTGGAGTATTCTTTAAATGCCAAGTGAAGATACTGCTTTCAACCCTATTTCCTGTGGTTCTGACTACTTGATCTACAGATTAATGAGAACTGTGCATTGAAATACCATTCTGGACATAGGATCTGGCAAAGATTTCATGATGAAGACTCCAAAAGCAACTGTAACAAAAACAAAAATTGACAAAAAAACCAAGTGGGACCTAATTAAACTAAAGAGTTTTTCACAGCAAACACAATTATCAACAGACTAAGTGAGACCTAATTAAAGAGTTTCTTCACAGCAAACACAATTATCAACAGACTAAACAGACAGCCTACAGAATGGGACAAAATATTTGCAAACTATGCATCTGACAAAGGTCTAATATCCAGAATTTCTAAGAAATGTAAACAAATTAACAAACAAAAAATAACCCTATTAAACATAGACTAAGGACATATGTCTCAAAGACAACATATAAGTAGTCAACAAGCGTATGAAAAAATACTCAAAAGCACTAATTATTAGAGAAATGCAAATCAAAACCACAATGAGATACTGTCTCACATCAGTCAGAATGGCTAGTATTAAAATGTCAAAAAATAATGGATGCTGGCAAGGTTGTGAAGAAAAAGGAATGCTTATATACTATTGGTGGGAGTATAAACTAGTTCAACCATTGTGGAAAGCAGTGTGGTGATTCCTCAAAGAATGAAAACAGCATTACCATTTGACCCAGCAATCCCATTGCTGGGTATATACCCAAAGGAATATAAATTATTTCTACCATAAAGACACATGCACGTGTATGTTTATAGTAGCACTACTCACAATAGCAAAGATACGGAATACACCTAGATGCCCACCAATGGTGGACTGGATAAAGAAAATGTGGTACATATACACCACAGAACACTATAGTCATAAAAAAAGAACAAAATCACACCCTTTGTATCGACATGAATAAAGCTGGAGGCCATTAGCCTATGCTAATTAATGCAGGGATAGAAAACCAAATACCACATGTCCTCACCTATAAGAGCTAACCATTGAGTACACATGGACACAAAGAAGGAAAACAGACACTGGGGCCTACTTGAGGGTGAAGATGGGGGAAGGGGGAGGATCAATAAACTACCTATCGAGTACTATGCTGATTACCTGGGTGACAAAATAACGTACACCAAACCCCCATGACACACTAACTTACCCCAGTAACAAACCAGCACATGCACCTCCTGAACCTAAAGTAAAACTTGGAAAGAAAAAAAAAAAACCTTGAACTCTGATTGTGGATATGCCTATTTCTCCTTTCAGTTTTTGTCAATTTTGCTTCATGTATTGTGAAGCTTTATTTAGGTTCACACACCTTTAGTACTATTACATCTTCTAGATGAATTACTGTATTATCATCATGAATTGCTTGTCCTGAAGTTGACTTTGTCCCATATTAACATAGCATACTCCCACTTGCTTTTGGATAGTGTCTGCATGTTATGTATCCTTTCACCATCCTTTTGCTTTTAAACTATATGTGTTCTTATTTAAATTGTGATTACAGACAACATAGGTGCATCATGCTTTTTATGATACAGTTTGCAAACTGATGCCTGAGTTTATCGTTACAGCCAGCTTGAAAATTTGTCTTTTAACTGTAGTATACCATTTACATATAATGTAATTACCAGTATTGTTGGATTTAAATGTACTGTCTCTCTTCTGTTTCATATCAAAATTATATTCTTTATGTTAATCATTCTTTCCATTTCTGAAACTTACTTTTAGCTTCCTCTTAGATATTTCAGCTTGTTCTTCCTGGTATAATTCTTGTCGCACTTGTTCTAGATCTTCACGTTGCCGCAGCATTTCTTCCAATTTCTGTGTCAACTATTAAATTTTTTAAAAAACATAAATGTTCATAGGACCCAAATTCTATAACTAATATTTCAGAATTTTACTAGTGTTAAAAGAAGTGATTATTTTAATACCGCATTCTGAAGCTGTAGCCTTTTCTCCTCATTTTCTTGAACTTTGGCCATCCGATCTTCTTCTCTTTGCTGCTGCATGTTAGCAAACTCTATGATTTTTCTGTTTTCTTCTTCCATCTCCTCACATTTCTTTTTTCTCCAGAGAGCCTGCTCTTTCTGAAACTCTTCTATATACCTTCGCAATGCATTTGTTTTTTCTAACTTATGTTGTTTTTCCCTAAAAAGCAATAAGCACAGATTTGTAGTAACATAAACAGTAACCTATAAAAAAGTATTTTATTGTTAATAATGTACAGAAAAATGCTATAGTTTTTCATTTGTGCATGCAACAAACATTTGAATGCCTACTGCGTGCTAAATACATGAATTTTTCTTTGCTATGATACATCTCCTCTAAACTATTCATGAAGTTTTATGCACCTTATTTCATAAAGGCTACAATCTGTTAACATTAGCTTTGCAGCACTCTGCACTTAAGTTGTGCGCAAGAAAGTTCATCGGAGTACACGTCCTATGACAAATGATATAAGCATATGTAAGAAAAAAGAAGGTTTAGGTCATTCAGTGACTTAAGCACTTATTAATCGTCGGATAATTCATTTATTAATTATGCTGACAGGCCGGGTGCGGTAGCTCAAGCCTGTAATCCCAGCACTTTGGGAGGCCGAGGCGGGTGGATCACGAGGTCAAGAGACTGAGACCATCCTGGTCAACATGGTGAAACCCCGTCTCTACTAAAAATATAAAAAAAGTTAGGTGGGCACGGTGGCGCGTGCCTGTAATCCCAGCTTCTCAGGAGGCTGAGGCAGGAGAATTGCCTGAACCCCGGAGGCGGAGGTTGCGGTGAGCCGAGATCGCGCCATTGCACTCCAGCCTGGGTAACAAGAGCAAAACTCCGTCTCAAAAAATAATAATAATTATTATTATTATGCTAACAGAGATGACAAGGAGTTGGTTCCAATTTATGTGATCATAGCTAATATTTACTGATAACTTACTATGTATTAGGCACTGTTCTAGGTGTTTTAGCTCCTCGCAACAAACCTATGCTAAATCTAAAGTAAACATTTAGGTATGTGAGAAAGTTATGATAAACTTACAATTGATCTTCTTCATAGATCTTCCTAACAATTTCATCAATCATGAGTTTCTCTTTCAGCAACTGCTCGTAAGCTTCCTGCTTTTTTTTCTCTTGTTCTTCAAGTTGTTTCTCTAAGTCAAGACAGTATTGTGCTTTCACTTTGTTTCGTTTGTCTTCTGCAGCATTCTCTTCCTTTATTATTCTCTCGTGTTCTTCCATCATGCTTTTGGCTATTTTGGCATCACGTTTCTGTTATTAAAACAAAATTCATCTTTCCATTTTCAAATCTAAACACAGTATTCAGATTTGGTGTAAAAATTGGTATATTTTACATCAATGTTATTGAATATTATAAAGTCTGATACATAAATGTTTTCATCTGTCTAGGTTAAAAAGCAAAAAAGTAAGTTATTATTACCTGAAGAGTGTGAATAATGAGTGAAACCCTAAAGAGGCTTTCCTATCCTTTCAAGTAGCTCTCTCAGGACAATACCTGATAAGGATTATTAATAACGCCACATTCAAAAAACAGTGAGTAAAATTATAAGTACTTTATTAATAACTGCCAAAGCAGTCATTATCTCATTATTTTATTTGTAAATTCATCTAGGCAATTTTCACCATTTTTAGCTTCATCACTGTTTATCAGCTGCTATTTAAAGATGGTACTAACTTTTTCTTACAGGTCTGCTATTAAGTGGCTTTGAGCAACTCAAGTTTCTCCTATCTTAAACTTTCTTTCCTGCCGTTGGCCCTTGAAGTTTCCCCTTTCTGATTTATTAAAGGCCATTTAATGGAAAAGAATCACAGATGCTACTTTGCCTATTTTCTGTAGCTTTAGAATTCACTCAAGACCATTCCCATTGTCAAGAGACAATCTTCCTTCTTGGATGGGTTAAACCCCTTAATTCTTTTGAGTATTTTTCAAAAGATTTAATAAAATAAGTTTTAAATGAAATATATTAAGGCACTTTTTTAAGCTATCCTTTACCTTTATGATCACACCCCAAATGATGGAATGGTCAACAGCATCAAACATAAGGAGTAAACAGATTAAAATATCAACACTAAATGTCATTCCTGACGTCACTGAAGCCTTTAACATATACTCTGATAATATGACTTGACCACAAATTTTTCTGATTATCTTCTTTGTAAATGCTGTACTAAATTCTTTATTAAAAAAATGGGATGAGATGACAATAACATTTATGTGTAGATTACCACACACCAATAAAAAACAATGTTCTAATTTTACAGATAAGACTCAGAGAAAAAGCCAAAATCAGTACTTACATATCCTGACACCCAGTCCAGTCCTAGTAGTATTCAGCTTTTTTTTTTTGAGACAGAGTTTCGCTCCTGTTACCCAGGCTGGAGTGCAATGGCGCGATCTCGGCTCACCGCAACCTCTGCCTCCTTGGTTCAGGCAATTCTCCTGCCTCAGCCTCCTGAGTAGCTGGGATTACAGGCACGCACCACCATGACCAGCTGATGTTTTGTATTTTTAGTAGAGACGGGGTTTCACCATGTTGACCAGGATGGTCTCAATCTCTTGACCTCGTGATCCACCCGCCTCGGCCTCCCAAAGTGCTGGGATTACAGGCGTGAGCCACCGCGCCTGGCCTCAGCTTTCATTTTGTGGATCAATTTTTATTTAGAAGATAGAAGCAATTCTCTTAGGAGTCAGATTAAAACGTCTACAACTATCTTGAATAATCTGAACTATGAGGATCCTTAAAACTGCAAACCACTGGACAAATAGGACATTGTTTGTGTCACTTTATTTTTCAGAGGACAGCACTATATGGCTTAGAAAATGAAGTCTCTGCACCTTCTCTTATCACCTGCCACACCTAAAGGTATTCCTGTTAACAGCATGCTGTGTACCCGCTAGACATTTTCTATATTAACACAAATGTACACATATAACACACATACATATACGTGTCATTTATGGCAACTATTCTTAATTGATACCCATATTGCACTGCCCTGGTTAAGCATTTTGGTATCACTCCTCTAAGTGTTTGTGTGTAAGTATGTGTACATATGTTTATGTTGACATAAACAATAGATGTGTGTATATATACATTCATATATAATTGTCTGGCCCTTCTGTGTGATAATGAGAGCTCAAGGGATGATATGCACCCAGCTTTTAATTAACTGTTAATTCAATAAACCCTATTTTATATTTATACAGCATAACACTCCTAGTAAGTATGCCCGAGACTCCTTGGCCCAAGAGTAACTCTAATCCTCAACTTGGTAGCATATCAGGAGTTAGCAAGGGGGATAAAAGCAGAGAGAAACATGAGAAAAAGAAATGGCCTTTATAAAACAGGAAAGTTTCCTACATAAAATTATCAGGAAACAAGAAAGCTTCCTACATAAAATTATCAAGTCATTTGCTCTTAAAAACATTTAAAAAATTAAAAATTTAGTAACATTTAACAATTTGTACTGTACTAGCTTGTCAATGAATAATCAGTTAGAGACCATAAAGAATGCTGGGAGTTACTGAATATAGCTGGTCATTCCAAGCAGCAACCTGTTCTTCTTAAAGGCTCTAATAATAAAAATGAAATCACCCAGGATTTCCTACATCTTAAGGATCTGAACATTTACTAACATTTAAGAAGTGTAGCGGTGTAAATTATTTGTAGAATATGACAATTTTTTAATGAAGCTAAAAACATAATGACCAGAAACATTATTACCATTTGTTCATATTTAATGGCATCCTTTTCAGCAATCTGAGCTGCCCTTTCTTTATTCATATAAGCTGCTTTTAATTTCTTCTCCAATTCTCTGAGCTCAATGCTGTTTAAAAAAAAAAATGTAAATTTTAGGACCATAACAGAATTAAAACCTCACAGAAAACTGAGTGACTTTATTTTTAGTTTTCACACACAGAGTATACAGGGGGTATTATTTGATATTCATAGGAAAGATAATTCATTACATTTAATGAATGCCTTTAGGGCATGAGGGCTTACATTTTCTGTTTGAAAAGGACTGCTGCTCTGTTCTATTGCATTCATCTATTTGCTTATCCTGTGTCAATACCATACTATCTCAACTACTGTAAATTATAATACCTTCATATTCTGGATAAGTCTCCAGTTTTGGTCATCTTTTAAACACTGTCTTAGCCATTTTTGGTACTCTCATTTCCATATATATTTTAGAATCAGCTTGTCAGACTTCAAGATAAAACTGGCTATGTTGTACTGAATTCATAAATCAATTTGGAGTGTATTAATAACTTTACTGAGTCTTCAATAAACATAGTATATCCTTCTAATTAGGTTTTTAAAAAGTCTCAATAATGTTTATATCTGTGTTTTATTTTGGTAGTTTTATACTTTTCATTAGGTATTTTTTATGTTCTTGTAAAGATTATTTTTCAAATCTCATTTTCTAATTGTTGATCATTTACAGAAATACAATTAATGTTTACATACTAACTTTATATCCAGTATCACTGAATTTACTATTTTTTAGTTTTCAGTTTTATTGATGTACAATATTCAATAAACTTAACATGTTTAAAGGATACAGTTTGGTGAGTTTTGACGTATGTATGCACCTGTGAAACTATCATCGCAATCAAGATCATGAACACATCCCAATCATCTGCTGATAAACCTGTGGTACCTCTCTTCCACCCCTTTATGTATGCACTTATCCTGAGGCAAACTAATTTTCTGTCACTTTAGGCAGTATGAATTTCCTACAATTCATATAAATGAAATCATATAGCAGGTACTGTTTTTCTCTGGCTTCTTTCACTCAGAATATTTTGAAATACATCCATTAATTGCATATATTAATTGCTTACTCCTTTTTATTGCAGGATATTATTTTAGATTATGATAGCCACTCAGACTGCTTATGTATTCACATGTTGATGGACATTTGAGTTGTTTCAAATGTGGACATTACAAATAAAGCTGCTACAGAAATTTGAGTACCAGCTGTTTGTGGTCATATGCTTTTGGATAAATACCTCGGAGTTGAACGATCAGGTCATACAGTAGAAGCATGTTCAGCTTTTTAAGAAGCTGCCAAACTGTCTTCTAACGTGTTTTTTATTTTAATTTCATTATTTATTTCAACTATTAGATACTGGAAGTACCTGTGCAGACTTGTTACATGGGAATATTGTGTAATACTGATGTTTGGAGTCACCAGGTAATGAGCACAGAACCAAATAGGTTGTTTTTTAACCCAATCCTCCTCTACCCTCTCATAGTCTACAGTGTCTGCTGTTCCCATGTATGTCTATATGTGCTCAATGTTTAGCTCCTACCTATAAGTGAGAATATGAAGTATTTAGTTTCCTGTTTACTGCATTAATTTGTTTAGGATAACACCCTCCTGCTCCATCCATGTTTCCGCAAAAGATACAATTTCATTCTTTTTATGGCTGTAGAGTATTCCATGGTGTATATGTACCATATTTTCTTTATCCAATCTCCCACTGATGGGCAAGAATAGCACAGCAATGAACATATGAGTGCATATGCCTTTTTGGTAGAATGCTTTAATTCTTACTTATTTGTAGATTATTTTATTTTATTTTTTGTAGACAGAGTCTCGCTCTGTCACTCAGGCTGGAGTGCAGTAGCGTGATCTTGGCTCACTGCAGCCTCCACCATCCAGGTTCACGTGTTTGTACTGCCTCAGCCTCCCGAGCAGCTGGGACTATAGGTGTGTGCCACCACATCCAGTTAATTTTTTGTATTTTGAATACAGAGTTACACCCTGTTGGCTAGGATGGTCTCAAACTCCTGACCTGTGGTTACCCACCCACCTTGGCCTTCTCAAAAACTTAGTTCCAGACACCACCCAAGGACCAAACTTACAAGAAGGACTTTCTAAGATAGCAGCCTCACGCCTACTATGTTAACTCTTTCTTGCATGACTTTTTTAGACTCATCAATTCCTATTATCATGTTTTATTCTCTATTAGTTATATTTTCTATTCCAAATTTTTATTATAGATATTACAGCATGTTTGTTTCCAGTTGAATAAATTTATCATTATTATTTGACAAGGAAAGATTCTGGACTTTAACTTCATTTACTTCCTGTCTCATTTTTGTCATATTTTTAACTCTACATATTTTAAATCCCAAAAGACATAATAAATGTTTTATGCATTCAAATTTCACCTAAATTTACTACACATTTACCTCTTGCAATTCTGAAATTAAACTTGGATTCATTTTTTTCTTCTTCTATTAATAACTAATGAAAAACTGCTAGAATTCCCTTTAATGCAACATTACTAGTGATCAATCTTCTGTTTTTGCTTCTCAGAAAATGTTATTTTGTGCTTTTAATTCATCTATTTTATTTTGTGAATTAACAGCTTATCAGTTCAGAACATAACTATACTGGTATTAGCAAGGTAATGGTAATAGTGTTAATAAGGAAACACTGTCTCTGCCTTTTCTTTGAAATGGTTTAGCTGAACTTATATATAAATGATATATGAGGTACCTGTTTTTACTTTCATAAAAGTATGTGTTAACTATGTAATAAATGAATTTAATTAGTTGGGCAATTAATTATATAACTATTAACTGTTTAGTGCCATACTTTAAAATAGGATTCCTAAAAATAAACAGTAAGTTTCCCAACTCCAGTTAAAAACAGCAGCAAAGGTAAACTATCTTTTAAGTACTTGCTTGGATTATAAAATCATGTGCTTAAAAATCAATTAACCAGAGTCTGATCATTTCTGAAATCAAACATTTTCAAAATGAACTTCAAAGATTTAAAAAATATACCATGCATTAAAAAATAATTTCTTTTACAGTAAAAAAAGCTTAATCTTAACATAGGTGATTTTTAATTAATCAAGATACATTTTAAGCACCAGAGCAAACAGTTCCCTGAATTTAGACCTGCCAATTTGCACATGAATATACCAATTTGAAATGTGGTCCATTTCTGCATGGCAGTCAAAATTTTAGGATGGCTTGTGCACAAAACAATTCTTAGCAATTCTGACACTGGTGAGAGGAAGCATACTCTATGTGAAAGAGTACTCAACTGAATGACTTTTAGTTTGAAAAAAAATTTTACGCACTACAAAATTCTAGGTGAGTTGTAAATTTTTTGTATATACTCAAGCACTTTTTTCCTTTTAATTTTTGTGGGTACACGGTATATATCTGTATATAATTATGGCATGCATGAGATGTTTTTATGTAGGCATGCAATGCGTAATAATCACACCAGGGAAAATGGAGTATCCGTCCCCTCAAGCATTTATCCTTTGTATTACAAACAATCCAATTATACTACTTTAGTTATTTTTAAATGTCCAATGAAATTATTACCAACTATAGTCACCCTGTTGTGCTGTCAAATACTAGGTCTTATTCATTCTACTTTTTCTTTTTTGTACCCATGTAAATCTGCTATCTTCTAATTTCTACTGTTTCTATTCAAGATTCAGTCATACTCCTTACTGCTGCCTCTTTGGAGGTAATAGTCTTCTTGGTTCTGGCTGCTTTTACTTTTTTATGATTTTCTATTACTTTTGGATTTTAAAAGTCTTATTAGGATGAGTGAAGATTTAGTTTTCATTACTTATAATTTTCTAAAAATTCCTGAGCAGCATCTCCTCAAATAATGCTTCTGTATTACCCTCTTTCACCCCTACTACCAGGACTAAAATTATATTACTACATCTGCTAGAATTTTCTACCATAGCCCATATCTCTTTTAAATTCCCATTTGTATTTTTCTCTCCATGTTTTATTCTGAATATTTTCTAGAACCTGTTCAGATTATCCCTTCATCTGTGTCCAATAAAATCTAACTCTGTATCACTAAAGTAAAACATACACTCACATGTACAAATATTAAGTGTACAGCTTGTAGACGCTGTTGAACAAAATGCCATGTGCTTATTGGCCAAGCTCTGCTTCACTCAACTCTCAGCCATTTTTGGGAATCAGCAGAAACCTCTAGAGGAAATGCCGATACAAATACCAGGCTCACGTTCTGCATTTCTGCCTTTCACAGATCTTGATTTTATGCTTTTCCCAGACTTACTTTTCTCAGGAGGAACATTTATCTGAAAAATCTAATCTACAATTGCTAAAAGTGAAAACTCTTCTATTTAATTCTTGTTTTCAGTGAATTAGAGATAAGAAATATTTCATCTTCAGATGTTAAAAGCTATGAGTGACAGCTAAAAATTACTGAAGAATTAGGATCCAAAAAGAGAGTTTGAGTCTAGAACAATATGTAGATTTTAGCAGTAATTCTAAATTTCTTTTCTAAGAATCAGTAATCTTAGAGGGTCCAATTAGAGTTGTGGAGCCAGAAAAATAAACATGGAAACATTTGCCAAACATATTAATATAATTTAACAAGGTTCAAAATCCCTCATCCATGGTTACTATAATATTCTATAGATGTCCTGGCTCAATTAAGATAAAATGCAACAATTATCCAAGTAAATTTCCAATATATTCTACTACATAAGTACATGATGGACCTTTACTTGTCCCTGAGTTTTGATTAACACTGTGACAAGGCTGTTCCCCAAAATTCAACCTCAGGCAGGATCAAGAAACGTTCTAGAATACTGTCCTATCATATGGAGTACCTGACACTCTTTGCTGGAGTATTATACAGAAGTATGGGGGAAATTAAGGAACATTAATAATTTAAACTGTCATCAGAAAAAAAACAAGGATAGAGAATAAACTTAAAGCCAGGTTATTTAAGAAACAACTGAAGGAACAAGGGATAGTTTACTTACAGAAGAAAACATTTACTGGGTTCATATGTATGGAAGGACAGCCTAAACAAGATAGATCCATGAAGTTAGAGAGAAATTAATTTCAAAACAATATGGGGCAAACGATTATTTAACATTAATCGAGCTGCCAATGACTTTCTTTACAGAAGTGGAAAAATCCACCTTAAACTTCATATGGAACCAAAAGACAGACCACATAGCCAAGACAATCCTAAGCAAAAAGAACAAAACTGGAGGCATCATGCTACCTGACTCCAAACTACACTACAAGACTACAGTAATTAAAATAACATGGTACTGGTACCAAAACAGAGATATAGACCAATGGAACAGAATAGAGGTCTCGGAGGCAACACCACACATCTATAACCATCTGATCTTTGACAAACCTGACAAAAACAAGCAATGGGGAAAGGATTCCCTGTTTAAATGGTGCTAGGAAAACTGGCTAGCTATGTGCAGAAACTGGACCCCTTCCTGACCCCTTACACTAAAATTAACTCCATATGGATTAAAGACTTAAACATAAGACCTAACATCATAAAAACCCTAGAAGAAAACCTAGGCAAAAACATTCAGGACATAGATATAGGCAAAGACTTCATGATTAAAACACCAAAAGCACTGGCAACAAAAGCCAATATAGACACATGGGATCTAATTAAACTCCAGAGCTTCTGTACAGCAAAGGAAACAATCATAAGAGTGAAATGGCAACCAACAGAATGGGAAAAAATTTTTGCAATCTACCCATCTGACTAAGGGCTAATATCCAGAATCTACCAAAAAACAAAACAGATTTACAAGAAAAAACCCATTCAAAAGTGGGCAAAGGATATAAACAGACACTTTTCAAAAGAAGACATATATGAGGGCAACGAACATATGAAAAAATGCTCATCATCACTGGTCATTAGAGAAATGCAAATCAAAACCACACTGAGATACCATCTCACGCCAGTTAGAATGGCAATCATCAAAGAATCTGGAGACAACAGATGCTGGAGAGGATGTGGAGAAACAGGAACACTTTCACACTGTTGGTGGGAGTGTAAATTAGTTCAACCATTGTGGAAGACAGTGTGGCAATTCCTCAAGGCCTTAGAAATAGAAATTCCATTTGACCCAGCAATCCCATTACTGGGTATATATCCAAAGGATTACAAATCATTCTATTATAAAGACACGTGCACACGTATCTTTATTGTGGCACTCTTTACAATAGCAAAGACCTGGAACCAGCCCAAATGCCCATGAATGACAGACCAGACAAGGAAAATGTGGCGCATATACACCATGGTATACCATTACAGCCATAAAATAAAAACGACAAGTTTGTGTCCTTTGTAGGGACATGGATGAATCTGGAAACTATTATTTTCAGCAAACTGACCCAAGAACAGAAAATCAAATATTGCATATTTTCACTCATAGGTGGGTGTTGAACAATGAGAATACATAGACACAGGGAGGGGAGCATCACACACTGGGGTCTGTTGTTGGGGGGCTAAGGGAGGGACAGTGTTGGGTAGGGAGGTTGCGGAGGGATAACATGGGGAGAAATTCCAGATATAGGTGATGGGGGCAGAGGCAGCAAACCACTTTGCCATGTATGTACCTATGCAACAATCCTGCATGATCTGCACATGTACCCCAGAACCTAAAGTACAGTTTTTAAAAAGTTCCTACTGCAGTAACTAGAGGTACTGAAACACAGGCTCAACAGTCATTCCAGAAATACTATAGAAATTTTTTGTAGAGTTATAAAATTCAACTAGTCATTACCTAAGGTTTCTCTTAAGACTAGAAATTCATTTTTTATAAGGAGTCATTTTAAAATTTATGTGTAAAGGAAAGAACAAGGGGACTGATATTTATTTTTCACTGTAAATATTAACACTTCCATAAATAAAAATTCTTTTCTCAAATAAGTATTTATAGGCCTTAAAGCAGTAAGTATTTCCAGGCAAAACATTAACTAAGTGAAATGATACTAACAAAGAAAATTCACTTTCAGGTGCTAAGAATTACATAAGAGTTTAAAGATAGCTTTGCGCGTGGCAGTATCATAGCCAATGAGGTTTATCCGAGGCGCAATTATTGCTAATTGAAAACTTTTCCCAATACCCTGCCATGAAGACTTGCAATATAGTCGGCACTGGCAATTTTTGACAGTCTCTATCGAGACTGAATTTAAAAAATAAATAAAGAGTTTAAAGATAAAGACTAAATACATGAAATTTAGAGAAACCAAGATACCTGTTTTCTCTTACTTGTTGCCTCATCTTTTCATCCTTCAGACTTTCATGTTTTAGTTTTGCCAATTCCATAGCCAATTTTTCTTCTTGTTTAAGCTGGAGTTCTTTCAATCTCTTGTTTTCTTCTGCCTGAGCAAAAAATGGAACTTCGTTATCTGTCCTCTAGAATCAGACTTTTTTTCATCAAGATTGATTTTGTAACAGAAAACTGAATGGCCTAAGGGCAACAATTGACTGTTTTCTTTTAAAATGCAAACTATTGTTTCAATAAATACTTTTTCAAAACATTTTATCATGGAAAATTTCAAATACTGCCAATGGTAAGAATATTAAAATACACTCTCAGGAACGCATCACCCACGTTTTCAAAAAATGTCAAGATGCTGCTAATCTTTTTTCTCTACCTTCCATTTCACTCTTTTCCCCTTATTCTTTTTCTGCTAGGTTGTTTTAAAATAATCCTAGACATCATGTCACTTATTACATAAGTAATTCTACCTGATCAGAACTTTTAAATTCTGATTAATATAACAATCATGTCATTAACATATCTAATTAACAATAATTCCTTTCTTAATGCCTACTACCATATCCATATTCAAGCCTCCCCAATTGTCTCAAGATACTTTTTTTCTAGTTGGTTTGCTCAAATCAAAATCCAAACAAGATCCACATATCTATTTATTATTTTTCTTAAATCTCTTTTGTATTCTGTAGCAATCACCTCATTACACACATTTTTTTCCCCCAAGCCACTGATTTGTTATAGAAATTAGGACATACATTCTGTAGAATGTTCCACATTTTGCATTTGACTGATTGCTTCCCCAGGATATATCACTTATTTCTCTTTTATATTTCCTGTAAAATGGCAGGACAATCTAGAGGCTTGATTAAGTTCAGTATCTAATAAAGACACATGAAAAGATGTTCAACATAATTAGCAATCAGGAAATGCAAATTAAAATTACAATGAGATATTACTGCATACCTATTGAAATCGCTAAAATTAAAAACAGTGGCAACACCAGATGCTGGCAAGAAACTATTACTCATATCTTGCTGTGTGGGAATGTAAAATGGTACAGGCATTCTGAAAATCAGTTTGATAGAAAACTAACATGCAACTGAGCATGGTGGCTTACACCTGTAATCCCAACACTTTGGGAGGTTGAGGTGGGAGGATTCTTAGGGCCAGGAGTTTGAGACCAGCCTGGGCAACACAGACACTGTCTTTACAGAAAATTAGCTAGGTTTGGTGGCACAAATTTGTAGTCCCAGATACTCAGGAAGTTGAGGTGGGAGAAGCACCTGAAACCAGGAGTTAGAGGCTACAGGGAGCCATGATCATGCCACTGCACTCAGGCTGCGCAACAGAGCAAGACCCTGTCTCTTAAAAAAAGCCTCCATGCAATTATCACGCAACTCAACAATTTTACCTTTTAAGCATTTATTCCAGTGAAATGAAAACTGTTTATTTTAAAACCTGTATACAAATGTTTACAGCAGATTTATTCATAATAGCCAATATTGAAAATGCTCCAGACATCATCATGTGAAGGGTCAAATAAACTGTGGTACATCCATACTATGGAATACTATTCAGCAATAAAAAGAAATGAAACAATAAAAAAGAATACAAGAAAAGCTTGAATTAATCTCCAGGAATTATGCTAAGTGAAAAAAGCTAATTCCAAAAGATTACACACAGTTTGATGCCATTTATGTAACAGTCTTGGAACATGATTTTTTTTTTTTAATAATTGATATACAATTTATATAGCATAAAATTCACCTTTCACGATTCAGTGATTTTGTATATTCACAATCTTGTGTTACTGTCACCACTATTCAGTTCTAGAACCTTAATAAAAACAGACTTTGAAGTTTGGGGTTCACAACAAAATTGAGCAGAAAGTACACAGAGTTCTCATATACTCCCTGTCCCCACACATGCTCAGCCTTCCCTATTATCAACCTCCTCCATTAGACTGGTACATCTGTTACACTCAACCTGTATTTACATTACTTAAACCTGTGCATCATTATCACCCTAAGTCCATAGTTTACGTTAAGGTTCATTCTTGGTGGTGTACATTCTATGGGTTTTGGCAATGCATAATCATGTGTATCTGCAATAGTATTGTACACAATCGTTTCACTACCCTGAAAATCCTCTGCACTCTGTTGAACCCTTCCTCCTTCAAAATCCCCAAAACAACTGACATTTTTACTGCTTCCATACTTTTGCCTTTCCCAGAATGTCATATAGTTGGAATTATACATAATGGAGCCTTTGTGGACTGGCTTCTTTCACTTAGTAATATGCATTAAAGTTCCTCCACATCTTTTCATGTCTTGATACCTCCTTTCGTTTTGGCACTGAATAATACTCCATTGTCTGCATTTATCAGTTTATCCATTACCTATTGAAGGATGTCTTGGTTGCTTCTAAATTTTGGCATTTATGCATAATGCTGCAATATATTATAAACAGTGGTGCTATGGCAGCTATAAAGCTACCATGTTATAAATACTATGTTTTTATATATGCCATATATATATATATATATATATATATATATATATATAAGTGATTGCGTGTACACACTATATAGAGCACATCTGTTTGTACAATTCTATGTGGCATAAAATGTCAATGCTCCAGAATGTTTACATCACCCCAAAATAAACATATAACCTGTTAGCAGTCACTCACTACTCCTCTCACCTTTTGCCCCAACCACTGGCACCCACAAATCTATTTTTTGTCTCTATGGATTTGTGTATTCTGTATATTTCATATAAATGAAATCACACAACATGTGGCCTTTTTTATCTGGTTTCTTTCACTTAGCATAATGTTTTCAAGGTTTATCCATGTTGTAGCATGTATCCATGTATCAGCAATTTATTCCTTTTTTATGGCTGTGTAATATTCCACTGTAATGATGTGATACATTTTGTTTATCCATTTATCAACTGATAGGCATCTGGGTTGTTTCTATTTTTGGGGTGTCATGAATAATGCTGCTATAGATACTCATGTATAAGTTTTTATATAGATATATGCCTTCAATTATCTCTTGGGAATATATTTAGAACCCAGCTACACCACACCTAGATTTCTGACTTGCAGAAACTGAGATAATAAATAGGTGTACTTTTAAGCCACTAAGTTGGTGGTAATTTGTTACTGAGCAACAGAAAAAACTACTACTGCAACTAAAGTGTACTCTTCAAAACTGTCAAGGCCATAAAAGGCATGAAAAAGTGAATAATTCTTACAAACTAGAGGAGACAAAGACTGGAGGAGAAACAACTAGATTTAAAAAATGGCTATAGTTTATTCAAGTGCAAAGCTTGAGGACAGCCACTCAGGAAACTCAAACTCCAAAATAATGGGTCATTGTTCCAATGAGGGAAAGTTAAGGTTTCACTTATGTAGGCAGAGACAGAGAAGCTTCACCGGGTTGCAACATTTTCCATATAAGGTCAGTGTATCTATTATAGCAATTTAATGGGTTATAGCCTGCTGAACTCCAAGGAACATTCCATAAGAAGGGGTAATGATCTTGAGGGGTTTATCTCTGGTGTCTTTTCTAATCATTTACAGAACAAGAACAAGGAAGATTTAATCAGTAATTGGAAAAGCAGAAGTTGTAGCAGCAGGACACATAACCACATTCCTCTCAAGGCTAAAAATAAAGTTCCAACAGCTCTACGTTTGAATTATTTAATATCACAAGACTAATGAGACATGACAACTAAATGCAATTTGTGATCCTCAAGTAACAACAAAAGATATTAGCGGGAAAAAACAATGAAATCTGAATAAATCTCACAGTTAACAGTACTTCTCCATTTTGATAACTTTTCTATGATTTTCATCTATTTAAGATGTTAAGAAGCAGTCAGGTGAAAGGTCTATGAGAATTTTCTACACTATTTTTGCAACTCTCCTATCAATCTAACACTATTTTTCCAACTCTATCAATCTAAACTTGTATCAAAATAAAAATAAAAATATGCAGATTTCCAAGATTTCTTCACTGAAAAGCCCCGGAAAAAATGATAACCCAAGAATTGAGTATACTTACGAGTAAACAAGGTAACACCCAAGTTACCTTGAAACGTTTTTTCACTAAATGATAACAGGGCTTCCTGGATAACCTGGCTGATTCCAGGTGTAGGACAAGAAATACACGAGATGAGCTTTGTTATTTCTCAGGGTTCTCTGGAGTAAGTGGTTATGGAGGTAGGCAAGTTCTAAGATCTGCAAGCTGAAGAGCTAATGGTTTTGTTCTAGTTTGAGTCCCAACGGCTGAGAAAGAGCAGGCTCAAGATCCAGAGCCAATGTTTCAGTTTGAATTCAATGGCAAGAAGAAAGAAGGAAAAAAAAAAAGCAGATGTCCCAGTTTAAAGGCAATCAGGCATGAAGAATTCAACCTTATTCAAAGGAAGGTCAATCTTTTTCTTCTATTCAGGACTTTAACTGATTGGATGAGGCTCACCTACCTCATCCAATGTGCTTTATACTCAGCATACGGATTTAAATGCTAATCTCATCCAAAACAACCTCACAGAAACAACCAGGATGATGTTTTATCAAATATCTAGGCACCCCAAAGTCCAATCAAGTTGACATATTAAATTATCACAAGCCTAAAAGATTTTGTTTGACAGAAAGCAAGGAAGGTATCTAAGATCAAGGAAATCTTATCCAAAATGAAACAGGGCTGGGTGCAGTCGCTCACGCATGTAATCCCAGCACATTGGGAGGCCGAGGCAGGCAGATCACTTGAAGTCAGGAGTTCCAGACCAGCCTGGCCAACATAGTGAAACCCATTTTTACTAAAAATACAAAAATTAGCCTGGCGTGGTGTTGCAGGCCTGTAATCCCAGCTACTTAGGAGGCTGAGGGAGGAGAATCTCTTGAACCCGGGAGGTGGAGGCTGCAATGAGCCAAGATGGTGCCGTGGCACTCCAGCCTGGGAGACAGATGAAGACTCTGCCTCAAAAAAAAAAAAAAAAAAAAAAAAAAAAACCACAGAGGCAATATAAAAGGGCATCCATTGGCCAAGGATCAGATCATTTGAGCATCAAAAATAATAAATGCAATTAATTTAAGTACGTAACAGCTATGAGTCCATAAAGGTATTTTTAAAGAGAAAAAGTCAAAAACTAAAGAAAACAAAATTTAAAAACCACAACATACGTAGACACCAATGGAAGAAAACAGGGCAGCAACTCTTTACCCTGATAATTAACTGTCTCCTTTTTCAGTAAGAATAAATAACCCCAGTTAATAATATAAGTTCTTTTATTTTTCTCTTTTTTTGGGGGTGGGGGCAGGGGAACAGGGTCTCTGTCCTCCAGGCTGGAGTGCAGTGGCAAGATCACAAGCGAGCCTTCCATCTTGGCCTCCCAAAGTGCTAGAATTATAGTGAGACATTACACAGGCCTGAGGTAAAGTTCTTTACAGAGGAATTTTAGCTAATTAAATGTGAAAGGAAGAAAAAAATTAGAAAATCAGTTTTTGTAACTACTAATGAAAGAAAAAATTCTCTTGTGAAACCACAGATGACAGTTTGATGGGAACCCTTACAATGGAGAAACCAGACTGTCTCCCTAAACCCATTGATCAATACTGGCATCACTAAAAGTGAAACCACCAGACCTCATGTGTTCCCTGATGCGACACAGTGACAAGGACACCATCACCTATGGACTATTCTTGCTAAAAATACTGGACCTCAATCTAATTGTGTCTTTATGGCTAGGTTCTAGTTAGAGGAAATATAAAAGATAGGGAAATAAATTAAAGGAACACGAGGAGGCAAACATATATTCAGAATGTGGGCTGCCTGATAAAACAACTGGCTTAGTTGAACAAGCTAAAAACATGGAAGTCAAAAAAAAGGGTGAAGGAGGGGCTGTTTTCGATTAAGAGGGACTTAGACATAACCACCAGATATATTGTATAAACCTTGCTTGGATCTTGGTTAAAATAAACCAACCGTAAAAGCAGATTTTTGACACAATCACAGAAATGTGTTTACGGAATGGGTGAGATAATAGTATTATGGTACTCCATGTAAGAAACCATCCATATTTTGTTAGATGTACACTTAAGTACGTCGGAGACAGTTGGTATGGTACCTACGATTTTCTTTCTACTTAAAAAATAATAAAAAGAATAGGAAAAATATCCAATCCCTAAGATCTGCTTTCTCAGAGTTAAAAAAAAAAATAAGCTTCTGAATTTGGAACACAGAGGGGTGGATACCATTTTTTAAATTTGCTTTTGTTATTCTCCACAAAATCCTCCCAATGTTTAACATACAGCAGTTACTCAAAAACTACTGACATATCAGACTACCTTTTTGTATTTATGAGAATTCATTTCTATCATACATCTCAATTCTTACTAGTTCCCTTTTCTACCACTCCAATCCCTTAAAATACCTAATATATGTGTTGATTCTCTACTACTTAATAATGTACACGTTAATTTTGATAAACTTTTAAGGCATTCTTAAATTTTGTCTTTAGAAATTTATGGAAGGCAACACAATTGTACTTACATGAACAAAACTGGAAGTTAGTAATTACAGATTTCATATGTTAAAAAAAATGTGAGTGCTTATTCTGTACCAGGCACTATTCCAAGGACCTTGCATGTATTAATTCATTATTAAAACAATCCTAAGTAGGAGATACTATAATTTTCCCCAATTTTATAGAAAAAAGCATAAAAAGTAAAAGCAACTTACTCAAGAGTTCGTAGCTAAGGTATAGCAGTAGAATTAGAAGTCAGGCCGGCGGCTCCAGAAACCCAGCTCTTACCCATTACACTGAGCTGAGGCACAATCAGGCATCCCCCACCTGCTGCTGTTCTTTATCTGCTCATTTACAGCATTAGCAGCTCGCTTTCATTATTTCCAAGGTGCAAAATGAAGAAAAAAAATAATAAAACTTACCTTTTGAATGGCTTCTTCCATATCCAACTCAAACTGTTCATTTTGTAATAATCTGAGAAACTGCTTGCGTTCAACACGGTTATCATTTTCATTCTGTACTATTTGATTCCTAATTTGACTGCTGATGTTTTTCAGCGCTTGGACATGCAATTTTTTGCAGTTTTCATCTACTAATTTCTGATGCCTTTCACTATAGCTCAAATTTCTCCTTTTGGAAGCCTAAGAGAGAAGAAAACATAAGATGCAGATTTTGATATTCCAAAATATAATTTATAAAAATGTATTGATATAAATCTTAAAGGATAAATTCAAAGGAGTATGCCGAATAAAAAACGTGGTAGATAAATATGTTGATAAATAGGTAGTGTTATCTATTTTATAGATGAAACATGAAAAGTAACTTTACCCAAGATTCTGCAGCTAATAAATAGCTGTAGTAGGATTAATCGCACCCTGCAGACCCAGACCTTTACTACCACCGGGTAATTTCTCCTCTCTCTATTCCACCCGCCGCCACCACCACCACCACCACCACAGGGCCATAAAGTGCTGTTCAGGAGCCGGTCAGGTTTTCCTAATATAAATCTAATAGGGCAGCTCGCTGCTATTCATCCATTCGCTTTCTCCTGGACTTTTATTTCTACTTATTTCTTCAGAGGTTCTACCGGGTAGATTTAAAGTTGTATTTAATACGCTATGGGGAAAATGCCAAAACGGCTGGAAACCCCACCGCGGGCGTCCCTTATGTAATAGCACCTGAGGCCTCCGAAAACAAAGACAAGTTCCCCACTTCAGATTCGGTTCAAATCCTTTTTTCAGAAGCGGACGAGCTCTAACTACAATTAAACCAACAAATAAGTAGTCCCAAGGCCCCCAACTGGCTCACCATCTTGGCTGACGAAAAATAACCCCTGTTGGGCTCCCCCGGCCACCACCTCCCGCCGCAAAGGCAGCAACTAGACGCGTCAGGGAGCGCAACAGGCTGCGGGCGCTCGGTGTTTACGCGGCGTCCTGGCAACCGTGGAGCAGCGCGCCTTCCGCGCGACCGAAGCCGACCCAAGCAGAACGTGGCCTCGCATTGGATGCGGTAAGATCCAATCGGCATTGAGCTTCTTAGGACCCGACAGGATGGCTACTTCTATAGGTCTAAATTAGAAAGGCGAGAGCAGGGCGCGGTGGCTCACGCCTATAATCCCAGCACTTTGGGAGGCCGAGGCGGGTGGATCACGAGGTCAAGAGATCGAGACCATCCTGGTCAACATGGTGAAACCCCATCTCTACTAAAATACAAAAATTAGCTGGGCATCGTGGTGCGCGCCTGTAATCCCAGCTACTCGGGAGGCTGAGGCAGGAGAATTGCCTGAACCCAGGAGGCGGAGGTTGCGGTGAGCTGACATCACGCCATTGCACTCCAGCCTGGGTAACAACAGCGAAACTCCATCTCAAAAAAAAAAGAAAAAAGAAAGAAAGTTCAGATTGTGGCTTGACCCAAGCCCTTTACAGTCAGCTACAGGCTAGATTTCCCTCCAGCGGCCAAACTCTGGTTTGAGTGGGTTTGGGAGCCAAGTTGAGGTCTGTGGAAACTACGCACAGAGAAATAAACTACTGTCTAATACATGGAGCCAAGTTAGTTTCCACGCATGGAGCATCCTGCACGGTAAGTGCCTATTCAGCCAGGTCTTTGCTAGGGACGATGACTAGTTTCACCCTCAGCAGTGGGAGTCCAGGTCGCTGTCCCCTTTGCTGGGTTGAGACACACTGAGGGTAGGTAGCACGAGTTTCCAGGAGCCTTCACGTTAGCCACCCCCGTCTTCCAGAACCTGGTGGTAAACTTTGGGGAGTAAAATGTATGAGAGCTACATGAATCTTACTCTGCTATGTGGTCTAGGTACCGACAGAGAGCACGTTACATGATGGCGGGATGGTGGGCTGGTTCATTTCATAGGCAGGTTAGACAGGAATGTCCATTTTAAACGGAAGAGTTTAAGAATGAGAGTGTATCAGAGAAATTAGTCAGATGTACTGATTTTAGAAATGATACATTCAGATAAATCTTGTCGAAAATATTATGATGATTATTATTTTTTGAGACAGTCTCGCTCTGTCACCTCCAGAGCAGTGGTGGATCTCAGCTCACTGCAACCTCTGCCTCCCATTTCAAGCAATTCTCTGCCTCAGCCTTCCGAGTAGCTGGGAGGACAGGCACACGCCACCATGCCTGGCTAATTTTTGTATTTTTAGTAGAGACAGGGTTCACCATGTTGGTCAGGCTGGTCTCGATCTCTTGACCTTGTGATCCACCCGCCTCGGCCTCCCAAAGTTCTGGGATTACAGGCATGAGCCACCACGCCTGGCTGGGTTTTGAGAAATACATAATGTCATGTATCTGGCCAGGAGTGGTGGCTTGTACCTGTAATTCTAGTTATTTAGGAGACTGAGACAAGAAGATTGCTTGAGGCCAGGAGTTTGAGACATAATGACATGTGTCTATCATTACAGTAATATACAAAAAAGTTTCATTGCCTAAAAATTCTCTCTCTTCTACCTATTCATTCCTCCCTAACTCCCTCCTCCCAAACCCCTGGAAGCCACTAATCTTTCTACTCTTTCTATAGATTAGCCTTTTCCACAATGTCATATCATTGGAATCATACAGTACGTAGCCTTTTCAACTTGCATCTTTCCCTTAGCCATGCTCATTTAAAGGTTTCTGAAAATCCTTTTGTGACTGATAGCTCATTTATTTTTATCACTAAATAACATCCCATTGCATGCCATTATTAAAAAAACAATTATTACATTTAAGTATTATTTCTGGTGGTAAATTATTACTATCATCAATGATACTTCATTGTTAAGGGAGGATTTATGCCTTCCCAACATTAAAAGCAAGTCTTCTGGCTGATTTCCTTCTTGAAAATAGCTTTTTATCTACAGGTCTAGGCTAAAAGGTCTAGAGTACTGAGGGGAAGGAGCTTTTCCTTAATAATAAATGAATTATACTGATTAATGTTCCCCAATAGTTACAACATAACAGTTACTGATCTGAAATAAAGCATGTTAATAGATGTGCACTGTAACGTGTAACCATACAGTAAAAATTATTTACCAAATGGTATTGCTTTATAAAATGAAGCAATTAGAATAATTTTCCTTTCTTTCAGAAAAATGCCCAAATCTAATCTAATTTCCTGCAGCTGGACACCACCTGCAGATGACTGCTGAAGTACTCTGAACATTACACACTTATCTTTTAAATATTGATAATGCCATTCTTCATTTCCTCGACATGAAATCCCAGAGGGAACAATTATGCTAATAAACCTTAATGATTCTTGCAAATAAGTGATCAAACCAAATTGCTGCTGTTGATTTATATTAATGGATGCCTTTAGGATGAGATTTGCCAGTATGGTGCTGCCTCTTGAATCTCAATTCATCTTATTTAGCTGAAGAGGATACATAGTTTGTTAAATAGATGAAGTGTTTAAAATATAATGTGCTTGTGCAGTTTTTGCACTTCATAATGTTCAAGTATTACCATGTTGCCTTGTGGCAAATCTGCATTTAATGGTTTCATTGTATATAACTTCCTTTAGTACTTTTTCTGTCTGTCATATGCAGTTAGAAAGTGACTGCTTTCGGGTTGATGCCGAATAGGCTAACTTCCATATGTTCAATCTCATTGTTTCATTAAGACAATAAAATCTGTTTCTGGATATTTTAGCCACCATAATCTGGGAATCATATGGGCTGTGTGATGATGTGATCAAGTGCTAATTGTTTGGGGTAAAGGGACATGATGAAATGTTTGGTGACCTCATTGATACCAGGCTTAGCGGATGTCTTTCTTTCCTGCTCTCTCACTTTCACTCTTACTCTTACATCTTCACCATGTCTACAGGAGTAGGAGATTGCTGGCTTTATTAATTCTAAAATAACACTGAGAGAAAGAGAGAATCAATTAACTAAAAGACAAAACAGATAAGAACAGTCCAGCAGTTCTGTAACAACTTGCCTTGATAATAGATGACAAAGCACATAAGGAAATGTAGTGGAAAACACTTAATTAATATTAGAAAACATTATCCTGCTACCTTATCATTTATTGATTTATTAAGTGCCTCCTACATGCCAATCACTTCACATATAATTGTCTTTACTTGGCAGAACAACGCCATTCACTCTACATATGAAGAAAACAAGATTCAATGGCAAGAAATAAGCAGAGAAGCTTGCGGAACAGAGTAACGGTGGGACAGAGATTCGTAGGAAACCTGTCTAGCTCATCTTTTCATGAATGCAGCATTTTTCAAACTACGGATTATAAAAAGTATTTAAAAAGAAACGGAATAGAACAGTCCAGAAAGTATAGAGTGCATCAAATCTAGTTAACTAGGTATTATTTATGACAATTTTTAGCTCTAGATAGATGATACATTCACCTATCAATGGATAGAAAGTATACATTGGATCATGATGTAAAATGTGTATCTTACTAAAGGTGAAGGACAAATAGGTTTGAAAATGACTGGATTGGACCATATTGCCTTTCTTTCTCAATCTTAGGAAGCGGCTTCTCTGAATTACAGCAAATTTCGCATTTTAAGAATTTTTCCCACAATGTCAAGGGCATCACTCCACTCCAAATAATTTTTTCAAAGAATCGCTGAATCAGAAATATTTGAAGTATTTTCAACAAATCGTACCAATCCTTCCAATGATTACTGAGTAGTAAACCAAAGTGATTCTTCATTTACTCTTTCCTAGGCAAACCCAACTTTGTTTTATTTAAATATGTATAATTAATGACTCTAACTGTAATAAAATATATGTGAACGATATCATAGATGATATAACACACAATTTATATATAATGAAATGTGATGTGCTCATAGAGCATTATATATGTTCTACATAGCATTTTTTTTTCCTTTTTTTTTTTTTTTTTTGAGACAGAGTTTTGCTCTTGTTACCCAGGCTGGAGTGCAATGGAGCGATCTCGGCTCACCGCAACCTCCGCCCCCTGGGTTCAGGCAATTCTCCTGCCTCAGCCTCCTGAGTAGCTGAGATTACAGGCACACGCCACCATGCCCAGCTAATTTTTTGTAATTTTTAGTAGAGACGGGGTTTCACCATGTTGACCAGGAAGGTCTCGATCTGCTGACCTCGTGATCCACTCACCTCGGCCTCCCAAAGTGCTGGGATTACAGGCTTGAGCCACCGCGCCCGGCCCTACATAGCATTTGTACAACAATAATGACAACTACTAAATTTTATTGAGTATCCAGGTACTCGCTGATTTGTGTCCAGATCAGTAATAACAATGACATTTTTTAGAAGCAGGTACTTCCTAATTTGAAAATATGGGGAATGCTAGGGAAAACTCATGCAGGCATAAGCGTAGCATCTAGAGAGAAAGGAAACAATGGTTTCAATACAAACTTTATAAGCAAGCAGTACCAAGGAATCCAATTAGATGAACAGATACATGGGAGGGGAATCAAGGAAAGAGACCCTTCCATCTACCCCATCCCACTGGAGATGGTGGGTAAATTTAATTACTTTGCTTGGTCCTCTACTTGGTGATTTCTGTCTACATATCGATGAGAAATTCAATATATAGAGTGCAAACCTTCCCTATCATAGGTCTCTTATTTTTATAAGATATTGCTGTGAGGATGACAAAATAATCAGAACAACAAGGTAATTGTGGCCTCTAAAGCAGCATTAGTCATAAAAGTAGCAAAAAAAAAAAAAAAAAAAGCAAGCAAGAAAGAGGGAAGAGTAAAAGTCAACAGCACCATAAGTGATGAGAGATGTTCTTGCTTCCTATTTTTTTTTAATGCTTCTTTGGCTCTCTATTTCTATGCTAATATATTCAGAGCAACAGTTACCCACTGTGTACCTCTCCACCATATAATTCTGTTCCCTAGGGTTTTTTTTTTTCTTTTCCTAGTAGATATACCTAAGAAATAGTCAAATAATAATTCACAAAAGCTAATCCAGCCCCTTAGA